GGAGACCCCGGCCACACAAATAAACCATACGGCTCCGATTTCGGAGTCCCCGGCTGGTAGTGGTTAACGTAACACACGCAAGCACAGATGGAATTCTGCACTCAACCCTGGTGTCAACAGGGCGGGGATTGAGATCGACAGATATCACCAAATGTGGTAAAAACCTTTTTTTTTCAATGGGCCAACTTGGCAAAGATTTTTTTATAATCCTCAGCCCAGGCATACACCACAAGCCTGTAAACTCCCATGATTGGCTAGACCCCAGTCGCTGCCAAGTGAAAATTCTTGAAAGATCAATTCTTGAAAAGTCGCTATCAGGAACTGGATCTCTTGGTTTACAGATGTGGTCGGCTCTTTGGGTTGGAACTTGGTATCGTACTTCCACAGCAGAATCATGAATGGAATGTAGTTAGGGGGCCTCAGGGATGTACATGTATTAGCTACCATAAAACAGTCGTGCAGGTTATACAGGTTCAGGCATGACCGGAAACTGACCTGGAAACAAAAATCACCTCATGGAGTAATGGTGTGATTTGAGGGGTGTGGCTGCTCCTTTGTTTATAGACGTGCTGACTGGTCGGCTGTTTGAGTTGTGACCTGGTATTACTTATACTTCCACATTAGAATAATGGAATGTAGTTAGAGGGGACCTCAGGGATGCATTGGCTACCATAAACAGTCGTTTAGGTTCAGGCATGACTGGGAACTGACCTGGAGACTACAATCACCACATGGAGGAAGGGTATGCCACAAACAGTGGTATAATCTTTCAAAACAATGACAGACTTCCTGCACTATTGACAACTGGTGTTTTGTTCCAAGTACAGTCTTTTGCTATAAGGCCCAGCTCTTTTGTCCGGTTTTGGGCTCCCCAGCTTTGTGTATAAAGCCTTTGTGCCCGAAACTGGGTACCCCGGCACAAAATGGTTACAGCAAGTGTAAGCACAGAGAGGAAGTTGTTTTTTTCTACTGGTAAATAATCAAACATGGCCCCAAAAGATTCTGTGCTTACTTTTCATGTACGCCAAGCCATAAATTAGGGCTCAGTCATATCTTAGAGTGTTATACCAGCCAGATATAGTTGACACCACTGCCAAAATGGTGTAATAAGTAAAGTTTTTTTGACAAACTCCAGAAAAAGTTGCACAACAAGAAAATATTTTTTGGATTTAAAGATATTTTCTGTGAAAGAAAATAATTTTTAGCATTTAGGTATAAAAAGTAAAGTTTCTCAAACTCCAGAGAAAAGTTGCATGACAAGAAAATATTTCTTTGATTTAAGAATATTTTCTTTGAAAAAAATTATTTTTGGCCTTTAGGTTGGTTGATTTGACTGGCCTTTAGGAGTGGAAGACTGTCTATTAGCCTAACAGTCACAGCCATTCAACCTGACAAAGAAAAACAACCAGTTGATTGGTTCTTTTCTGTAGAAAGAACATTGTCCAAATGTTTCAATTCTTTACGACTCATTTCATTTCTAGTTGCTATGGACAGACTGCCGGATTTTAAGGCCAGCCCCAGCGGGAAGACAAAACAGCCTGGTCCCCATCACACGTGCACCATACACCTGAACTGCGAGACAACAGACTTGCTGGAGAAGGCCTACCAGCCCTGCCAGACGGGGCACATCTCGGACCGGCCCATGATCGAGATGTGCATTCCCTCCTCCCTGGACCAGACCATTGCCCCAGAGGGGTGCCATGTCCTGTCATTATTCACCCAGTATACCCCTTACCATTTGGCTGATGGGAAAAAATGGGATGAGGATGCCAAGAATGCATATGCTGATAAGGGTGAGTGAAGACTACACATCCCATTCTTCCGTACTTGAGACATTCTCCAATACAATTTGTTGGAAATAGACGAAAGTAGTACACATGTATTCTACAACAGAATCTCATTTTTCAAATTTTAGCATACAATTCATTTTTTAAAACATTTTAAATGTTCAGATGTCTTCCCACTATTCGGTGTGATATCTTGCAGTGATGGTGATTTTATCCCAACTCCTTGCATGTCTGTTACAATTCCATCACAAGCCATGTAGTTGCCAGTCAAGTCACAAACCATTCAATAAACTGTGACAGAAACATTCTCCTGTCATTGTTCACCCTTTTACGTTGTGAGACCACCCTGTTACCTGAGACTGCTCTTACAACTGGTCTTTGGAAAGGACTTGAGATGGACTTGACTATTCTGACAACAATATCCACAAAAATCGTATCTCATGGTAGGTTACCAGTGGATTAATCTTCAAATCTTGAAATCAGATTCATGCATATTGCATATACGTGTTATTGAAGACCGAGTTGAACCAGAAAACTGTAATTTTGCTCAAAATCATAGCTCTCTTCAGCATTTCATTATCAGGTGGAAATCCACTTCATGGAATCTTTTAGCAATAGTTTTGTTTTACATTAACCCTCCTTTAGTTTTACAGCACAAATATGCACAAGTGCCCAAGGTCACTCTCTTGCATGTTGGTGTAGTGCACAACACAACACAGATGTGCTTCTTTGAGGTGTTTACCAAGTGACCCAAAGAGTGACTTCAGCATAGGAGGGTTAAGGAGTTAGATGTCCCACATTACTGTACATGAGAAAAATCTAATTTATGATGTCATACAATCCACTGCATGCAGAGAAAAAAATTACATGAAATGAATAACTCAAAGGAAACTTTTATAAACAGGTAAATGTTGAAAGTGCAGGCTGGAAATTTGAATTGCAAAATAAAGTCTTGTTGGCAGAATAATGTTGAGCATATCTGATACACTTCCCCATTCAATATAACTACATGCGCTAAAAACATGTTCCATTATTGGAGTGCACACACAATTCAAAAATGTGGACACAAATAACAGCATCTCGTTTAATGTGACACAATGTCACAAATTGTCCCTTTTCACAAATATGACGTATTTGCTCTAGATCTGTGAAGACATCCAAGATATGATAACCAACTGAACCTGTGTTAATTTGACACACAAGGGAGACACTGTGCCCAGCGGTAGGCACTGGTACCAGTACTAGACAATTTACCTAGCCTGTAGGTATTTGTTTCATTATCTCTGTAGTCTTTGACTGCATTGAAGACTACTGCTCTGGTTTCAAGTCCAGTGTCATTGGTAGAGACATCTTACCTCCGCCTGAGTTGGAAAGGATATTTGGACTGACTGGAGGGGTGAGTTTGGAAAGGCAGGTTTGAGTCTTACACAGAGGTTCACCATGTACCAGTAATCCGCTGTTGTCTTCTGAGCTGGGAGATGGGGAATTGATGGACTCATTTTGTCTGCACTAGCACAGCAGGGGGGGGAGGGCTGTGGCATTCATTTGCAGTATATGAGTTTGAAGAAACTAAGAAAAAGACACTGGTAGCCTGCTATGTTTTTGAACCCAGATCCGACAAGAGTAGGCACCCGTGTCCGACAGTATCCAGCCCTCATTTCCCAAGCCGTGTCCAAGGTGGCCTCAGCACTTTTTTGTTGAAGGGAGATTATTGGGACCCACAGCAACAAGCCACTGTGTGCTATCACAACACACTAACCCCCCTGTTGTACTATTAGCGAGTACTATGGAAAATCCACAGGGCAAGCAGTATGTGTCACCCAGGGTTGGTCGAGTCAAAAGACATCGCACATACTTGGAGTGCACATAGTGACCATTGGCACACAATACACGCAAAAGGCATGCACGTATACACTGTGCGCGGGCTTGGCTATTGCTGCATGCACTGTATATATGCTCTAGGCCAGATTCACACAATGCCTTGGTCAAGGCTATCATTTCCACCTCCCCAGTCCAGCGCCCACACTCATGAAATTTTCCCTATCCTTTTTGAAAGATGGTGGGCCATTGATCAGACAAAACCCTTGGAACCCAGTTTCAGGAAAACTGATGACACGCTTACTTGAAGGAGCTCAAAAAAGAAAAGAATGAACTCTTCCACGTCAGGAAAAAGTGCCAGCAGGAAACAGAAATGCACAAGGGCGGAGAAAGGGAAGGGCCAGTGGCCCACATCTACCAACCAGCTCCTTCAGATGATACAGGAAGTTTTCTTCTGACCCGGCAAGCAGCACCGGAAAGAACAATGAAACTTTCTAATTTCACTAAAGTGTACGCTTCTTTTAGACGTACGCTTCTTTTAGACGTGTTTATTTTCTAGAGCATGGCTTCTCTACAAATTGGGCTTAGCACGTGGGACAATTTAAGCTCTTCGTTTTTCTCAAAGTGAATAATTTTCCTTCTGCTTGCACTGAAGAATGTCTTTCACAGCACAATGTCGCTGGACCAGATTTACTTTGCTCGGCCAGTGCTATCGTCGACCTACAGGTCACCATTGCCTGGGTTGTACCTTTGTGGTGCCGGTGCCCATCCTGGTAATTTGATTCATAGTAATGGTGAACTAAGGGCAGGCTTGCTTTATTTTTCTTTGTTTCTTTGCTCAAAATGGATCTGTCATTGTTTCTTTACCTTGCTTATAGAACATTTTTCATGGTGCAATGTCTCTGGACCAGCTTTATTTTGCCCGGCCTGTGATGTCCTCAAGTTACAGGTCCCCGGTTGAGGGGTTGTACCTTTGCGGTAGTGGGGCTCATCCAGGTGAATAACACTAAATTCATCTATTAGTTCTGACTCTATCAAAGCACGGAAGGTTATCCCATTTTCCAAGGTTCTGACCAAAGATCCTACAGCAACGCGTAGCGGGGCAAGATGGGGAACTCTATCGAAAAGGTGTAATCACCATGGGCGCCATTCGAGTAAGCAACACGCCTGCAGAGTAAACGTTTACACACAGGCGCATCTGTGAACATGTGTACCAGGTGAGCATGCCTGTGCATCCATTGTGCAGGCGTATCGCTTGCTCAAATGGCACCCAAGCGATGAGAACATTTTACGCGTTTTCACGGCGAAGTTCTCCATCTTGCACCACTATGCGGCACCATATGATCTGTGGTTTTGACTGTTCAAGCATTGACACTGACTGCATTTATGCATGTTGTAGTTGTGTTTTGCTTAGAAAGTAGAAACTGACAATTTGCTTGCCTATGGGTGAAGATGTGCTTTTCTGTGCTTCAGCTAATCGTGCAAAAGCAAGCTGACCAAAGAAAAAGAAAATGAATCAGCTTTATGTTTTACTAACACATCGTCAACAACAATCTTGAGTGTTTTATCTTTTTTTAATGGAGGAATTGTAACAGCCACTCATCAAAAATTCAAAACTTGTGATATATGAAATATTATTCTGGGAACAGTTCCTTCCCTGATTGGCCATACTCTGAAGACAATACAAACTTGAGAATAAAAGTGAATTTGACTCTAATTTGGGATTTCAACACATCTGAGAATCCGCAAATAAAGAATAAGCAGTTGACTACTACACTGCAAATATTCCATTTTACCTAACATAAATGCCTTGGAATCATGCAGTAATGACGTGTGGTCTCTCTAGGAGGGGGAGTGATGGGTGCACCTGGACGAAATGCGGCACAGGTGGCTAGCAAGGATCTCAAGAGGCAGGGCAAGAGAAGGTAGAAACCATCAAGACAGAATTGTTGCTTTCATATTCCGCGGCACTGGACACTGAGGAATGCCCTGAATCTCCAAGCTTTGTTTTTTTTCCTATTGGGTGCTGTGTAATTGGACTTGTGCATTTTCAAGAGGAGCCAGTATTAAGCCTTGTCATGTGTGCTACTAGTTAGGCTGGCGGCTGCATGCTTTTTCATACATGCTTGTCTTAGTCTCAGCTGCAACCAATTAAACTGGACATGGCCCAAGTTGCAAAAAATGTAGTACATGTACATGCATTTTAGTTCTGCAAAAGCTGAACTTCTATTTGCTCACGGAAACTTGTGTGCTATTTCCCATCTGATTTTGTGCTAGACATGGAGATTAAATACTTTTTAATGATTGAAGATGATTTTAAAGCTTCACCACTGTAAATGTTAAATATAACTTCGAGAAATTATAATAAGCTTTGAGCTGGACCAAGAGATGGTGCTATTTTCTTAGCAATGAAGGCTCCTTTGGTTGGAACTGAACTTTGCTAGTTGACTAATGACCAAGAAATGCATCACGGTCACATCGCTACCAAGAAATTCAACACTCTTGACCAGTGGGGTTCTTTTCAACCAATGGGAAGGGATGTCTGCTCGAGGCAGAAAGCGACTGTGACAGTATGTATTCAGAGTGGTTTTTGAACTCAGGGCCTTGGATAAATGCAAGTTTAGAAGCCTGGAGTTTAGGTTGGGTGGGAATGGCATGTGACATTTGACAGGATGTGACTCATCCTGACAAAATGAGACTGAATTCGCATTCTGTTCTTTCCTATTGTGACTGTTCAGAGTGAAAAACTGAAAGGATAGTCAATTTGGGGGTTTGTAATAGTTGGCAAGAGTGACCCCTCTTCCATTTAATTCACATTTTTAGCAGGATCAGATACATGTATTTAAAAACATGTTCTTAGCAATTTTGATGGTAAGATTATTTATGCGTGGTCAGGAATGTTGAAATATTGTCGTCAGCAGACACAAAGCTGCTGAAAGTCACATTGTCACCGTACATTTACCCTACTACATGTACATACCATTACAAGGCCGTTCTGCTGCTGAATTAAATACACGTACCAATATCTAAATTTTGAAAATTTCGACTTTCCGCTCGTTTTGTGGTGACAAGTCAGTATTTCATACTTATCCCATATCACTTCTGCTGCACCCAATTTGTCAGACATAATTATGCAGGCTTTTTGCTTATTCATTTCCCCCTAAATTCAGAGTTAAATTTAAGAGGCACGTTTCTACTCGTCTCTACTTGACTATTTTTTAAACTGAAGTCCTGTTTTCATGTATTTTTTAGACTGAAAATTATTTTAGAAAAATTAAATCATTTTCTCAGCAACTATGCATGTTTATACATTTTCAAAATTTTTTGTATTCAGCAAGGAAAGTTTGTCACCATTTGTGTGGAGGGGAAAGCATTTGACCTTCAGCAGAATGATGTTCTACTTTCTTGTCTTTAACTACAAACATTCTCCAAAGTCCCCCATCTGCAAGTGAAAGATTTTAAACAGTTGAGGCTTTATGGTAAAAAAGTGTGGTTGATTTGTGTCCAAAGTCTTATGCCAGATTTTCTGGTGTTCATGCTCAGCTGGGCATAGACTTTGCCCGCATTTTAATTTTTCACTGCTGCAATAATATTAGTTGCATTGCCTAAACATATTCAAAGGAATTGCAACTAGATTTTGAAGGACTGAGGCAAAATGGAAAATGAATAAATTTTTCAGATTGAAATCATGCTGAAATCATGTAAACAGTTTTGAAGAATGCTATTTTTTACTAGGAATACATTTATAGTAAGCCTACCACTTTCTGTATATTCGAACAATTCATGTGCAAATGAGTACAATGAAATAAACGACAATGCACCCGAGTTACTGATCTCCCATTCTGGTTGGTGTTATTAGGAAACTTCTCAACATACAGCTGTTAATATACAAGAATTCCAACATGCCCGCCCCCTTTGCTTTGGAAACCATGTGACTGGCAGGTCCTTTAGTCTGTTGCCATGGCAACTGATTCCTCGGTGTGCTTGCCCTTGCCCTTGTCTCTCTGGAGGCGGGAGGCAGCCTTACGCTCAAGGAGACGTTTGCGGTCCTTGTCCATCTTCAGCTTCACTATCACAACCTGCCGAAACAGTCGAGAAAATCATTTCCACGTCGAACAATTATCTTTAAGCCCTCCAGTAGTATTCATTTGTTAGTTTGGAGCTGCGCATTTGTAGTGTTTTTATACATTTAAATCTACACGCCATCTTTTGAGAAAATCTACTGGCTGGAATCAACTGGCATCCCATCCAGAGGAATAGAAATATTTTCAATCATTTCTTGCAAAAAAACTGGAGATAAAACACTGACTCAATAAGCCCAATGGGAGACTTTCGAGGCACTGGTGGCCGCAGACATACCTGTCTTTCTCACAGCATTGCGTGCTCAGAATTTTGTGCTCAGAACAATGCACGCACACTCTGACCTGGTAAAAAAGACCAGTATGTTTGCCGCCCCCTAGCGCTTTAAAGTCTCCCACTAGCCCGAAACAGACTCGCCTTTTTTTTTAGGGAGGGGATTCCCACTTTATTTCACCATTACTTCATGGCTCATTTTTCCCCATCATACTAGAATGCCCTTGCACTAATTAACCACTTCCTGCTGGGAAGCCCGGTTTCGGGCACCGTGTGTTTATACCTGTGGCCGGCGTCTCGGAAATCAGAAAAAGGGAACTGGGCCTTGAAACAAAAGACTGTACTCGGAACAGAAGACCAGGCTGCTGGGCATTACCGACATTTTGTCACTCTCAATAGTGGAGATAATCCAGCCTTGTTTTAAAACAGTATACCCGTGGTTAGGGGCATTTAGAGCAAGCAGATTACCACCGGGGACAAAAGCGCTCCACTACCACAGCACGCTAATCTGGCCCCAATTGAAAAGAGGTCAGCAGCGCACTGTGCCAGGTTCGTGAACAAAAGAAAGTTATATAACACCGCACAATCTGGGCTCTTTTCACAAGGCTTCAGGCCTGGCTGAAATACTCGGGCATCAATAGATTTTGTCTGTCAGACTAGAGTGGCCACCAGACAGTAATTTGTGTGGGTGTAAACGTCCACTAATTCAAAGGATGAATTTTTGAAGAATTTTGAAAAGTGAAAATCTTGAAAAAGTCCTGTTTATGTGCACTGCATTTTTCAAACCACCCAGCAGCAAGGGGTTAACATGTTTTGTAAAGTTTGGCGCAAACAAATACTAGAATGTGAAATTATACCTGTTATGTGGCAAAAAGCAACCCACTAATTCCTAGTTTTGAAACGCATATCAATTGAGGAAAAAAATTTGATTTTTAATTTGATCTGATGATAATGGAGTACATATTTTGTCGCATTTTGGGTTAAGAATCTTCCTGGACCCAACCATATGCATTGTTCCCAACTATACTTACACAGTAGACCGTGCAAAACCAATGAGACAGTCTTTGTATTTTAACAAAATTGGCTGCTGAACCCAATAAACAATTTTCAAAACTTGTTCAGTTACGGTCAAAACAAAGTTTGACTAAACTTTAAAGGGCTGCAATGGCATTAAAACTAACCCGGCTACTTTTCAATACTGTGTGGTGTACCAAGAGTAACTTGCACAAATGCTGAACAGTTGATGCCAGCCAAACCTGATGGGAGTCATCCTAACTACGTGTATTATCCGAACGTTCTGTTATGCTAGTCACATGGCGTTTGTGACTATGGGAGGCTAGTTTTAACCACTTGTTGCCGGGGGGACCCGTTTTCAAGCACCTAGGCTTTATACACAAAGCCGAGGAGCCTAAAACCGGACAAAAGAGCTGGGCCTTGTAACAAAAGACCATGCTCGGCACAAAAGACTCAGCTGCTGGGTATTGCCAACATTCTTTTGGTTGTCAATATTGGAAGAAATCCGTCCTTGTTTTGAAAGATTATACCACTATTTGTGGCATTCAGTGCACCACCGGGGACAAAAGCTCTCCAGCGGTCCAGTGATGAGTGATACAATACTGCTGCACGCTAATCTGGCCACTATTGAAAAGACGCAAGCAGTGCACAGTGCCGGTTTCGGGAACAAAAGAAACTTACGTAACACCGCACAATCTGGGCTCTTTTTACAAGGCTGCAGGCCTGGCTGAAATATTCTGGAGTCAATGAAGTACCTGTCAGCTTAGAGTAGCCATCTAAGAGTCATTCATGTGGGTGTAAACGTCCGTTGACCCTAACCCCCAGGGTGTATGTAAAATCGTATTGAAATTGGAGGATTTGGGAGTGTTAGGGTTGATGAAATGATAAATTTCTGAAGAATTTTGAAAACTGAAAATCTTGAAAATCGCCCATATGTGTGCACTCCATTTTTATATGCACCTGGCAGCATGCAGTTAATACACAAGACAGAGAAGCCAATGCTTGTATACTATGCTTGAAAACTCTACAGAATTGCTTCCTGGTAGGCAAGCTATCATAACTAATTGTTTTACCTTGCTGGGGTGGATGCCAACAAACACTTGGGCTCCATTAGCCTTCTCCCTCTGGATCCTCTCAATGTAGATCACAAACTTCTTCCTGTACACCTGCACGACCTTGCCAACCTGCTGACCTTTGTAGTGACCCCTGGTTACCTAAATGCACAAAAGGTAATGAAACTCCACTCATTAACAAATGAGCTTCATGTCATCCATATGTTTTGTGTCGTTACGCATTACTCAGTAGTGCTGAAGCCAGACTACCAACCCCGTTTAAATACTTCCTTCCAGGTGGAATTCACATGTGGAACGAGTCCCCGGGCGATTTTCAAGACTTTTGTTTTAAAAATTGTTCAAAAATTCTTAACTTCATTTACTGGACATTTACACCCACACGAATGACTGTCTGGTGGCTACCCTAATCTGACAGGCAACCTCCACTGAAGCCCAAGTATTGCAGCCAGGCCTGCCGCCCAGTAAAGACAGCCCAGATTGTGCGGTGTTGCATAATTTCCTTTGCTCCCGAAATTGACCCAGTGCATTGCCGATTGGCAGTGGCATCTTTTCAAATGAGGCCGGATTAGAGTGCAGCCGTACTGTGTTGCTCATCGCTGGAGTGCTGGAGCATGTTTGTGCATGCTGATAATCCACAGGGTCTGAATGCTGTAAACAGTGGTATACTGTTTCAAAACAATGATGGATTACCTCCGCTAATGCCAACTGAAAAATGATGGCAATTCCCAGCAGCTCAGTCTTTTGTTCCGAGTACGGTCTTTTGTTAGTATAAGGCCCAGCTACTTTGTTCGATTTCGGGCACCCCGGCTATGCATACAAACCCAAGGTATCTGGTACTGGGCAATGGCAATGGTTAATATAGCCATAAATGGCACCTCTAAATCAAGCTAAACTGAACTGGTTGGCTGGCTCTGGTGCCTGGAGAGCTGGACGTAATAGGACAGATAATGTAATGCATTTTAAACAACAGCAGCTGTTTAACATGCAGGCATCATCGGATATTCATATCCTAGGAAACTTCATAAGAATTTTCCAATGAAACTACAATGCTACAACGGTTTCTTCCTCCGCCTTCATTTAGGTAGTACAGCTTTCCACAATTCCCTCACGATTCGTGTACTGTACATCTTGATACCATTATCTCCTCGAAACTTGGATAAGAAATATTACTTTATTATTAAAACGACATTTCTTTTGAACAGCCGACAGTTTGTAAATGCAATGAGTCGAGAACTTTCAAGAACGCATTCAATTTTTTGGCATGGCTTCGGTTCTCCGAGATTGGTCTGGCTGCACAACACTAACTGAGATCTAACCAAGGCTTAATTTCATAACACTGTGTCAGAGCCAATTCCTTGCCAACAAAGCCTGGATTAAACAGAGACTGTTAAATGCTAAATACATCAAAAGTAAGCTTTACTCTCAGACAAAAAGTTGGATAAAACAGTGACGTAACAAAGATCTCCACGCAAAAGTAACAGTTAACACATCCATGCTCTGAGATACTGCTTAACCCTATCCCTCCTCAATCCTCCAAAATCCTTCAGGTGGTTTTGGAGGATTGAGGGTGAATGGCAAAAGTGCATGGCTCATTGTGAAGGATGCCATGCATGAAGGTCGTGGGTTAGACCTTGTGTTGCTCTTGCTTAGTCATGCATAAATTCAGCCTGATATTTCTTTTGAATCCACCGCACTGCTCAAGAATGCCATTCGCACTGCCTCAACATAATGACAGGAATTGCCAGAGGATTTTGAAGGATTGAGGCAGTAGGCACACCTCCAAGTAACATTTCCAAGAAATTTTGGAGGATTGAGGGAGAATCCAATTTTTTTCACCCACCCACATTGGAGAATTTTGGAAGATTGAGGAGGGTCCCAAACAAAAACTGCCTAGGGAGTGCATCAGATTTTCTTGCCTGAAAAAGCTGCAGGGAATGGGAGTTTTTACCTGCAAATTCTTCACGCCGCGTTAATATGTCAACTGCAAAAATGAAAACAAGAATTCTTGAACGAGTGTGCACATCCTCCGTTTATTTATAATTCATCCAGCACCAAGTGGTTAAGCAGCATTATTATCTGCATTGGTAAACACAACTTTCAACCTAGATCAGTTAATCAGAGCTATTACATTGAAGACTGGGTTGCCTGGTTCATAGGCTGCACAGCTGTCCACCTACCTGCACCTCGTCATCTTTGCGGATGGGCATGCTGCGGACATTGTGCTTGGTCCTCAGGTCCTTGGAGAGTGGTGCACTCATCAGCTTGCGTCGGATGTGGGAGGGCGCATTGAAATGACGCTTGCGGCTCTTCCGCCGGGAGGAGGACACAAACGGATTGCGCTTCATGATGCCCTGCAGAGAGCGGAAGAAATGACAGCAAGTAAGAAATGTTACACATACGGGATACATGAAATGTTGCATTGTCTTCAACAGTAACAAACATCATTTCATGATGTAGCCCCAGAGCATTCCATATTAACTCTAACTCCCGATCGCTGACCGATGCCAAACACAGTTGGGGTCTGTTTGGTCTGGGAACGAATTAGCATTATTATGTGGATCCCCAGAGCATGACAATGCCAATGAACGTTGATGAATGATGAACCAAAGTGCATACAATGCTTGGGATCGAGTGTGAACTCATTGCCAGACATAGCGCATGGCATGTGTGGAGCGCACACCCATGAAAATACCCAACAGCTGTTGTTTTTGACACATTCGTTGCATTCACATATACATCATTTTACATGTACATACATGTACCTAGCCCCACTAGTGTGGTACAGACTCTCACTCCCGATCCATCCTTAGCCACACATCAGTATGCGCAATTTCATGTCGGCGTATAGAACATTTTCGGCACACCCACTTATCATCGTGGGCGCAATTTCTTTTGCACACAAACAAGATCCTTGACCTTTCCATTTTCTACAAACCATTTATTGAATGATTTCACTCACATTATTCAGGTATTTTCCAGTCTTTTTGCCTTTATCCATTCAATCTAACGGGCTCGCTCTCTCGGTCGCCATCTTTAAAATAAGATCGTTGAACAATACGTCACTTGACCTCTCATCGTCTCAATGGCCGTTCCATGTCAAGACATCTAAACTGCTGCCAAAGTTTTGGAAGAGCACACTGGAACATGTAGTATCTTATCGCTCAGTCCATTTATTACACACGTCTAGACATGGAACAGCCTTCCAGATGATGAGAGGTCAAGTGACGTGTTGTTCAACGATCTTATTTTAAAGATGGCGACTGAGAGAGCGAGCCCGTTAGATTGAATGGATAAAGGCAAAAAGACTGGAAAATACCTGAATAACGTGAGTGAAATCATTCAATAACTGGTTTTTAGAAAACGGAAAGGTCAAGGATCATGTTTGTGTGCAAAAGAAATTGCGCCCACGATGATAAGTGGGTGCGCCGAAAATGTTCAGTACGCTGACACGAAATTGCGCATACGGATGTGTGGCCGAGGATGGATTGGGAGTGAGAGTCCGTGCCACACTAGTAGTGGGGCTAACATGTACCAGGCTTCATTATGAGTGATACACAGTCGCTGATGAAACAGCAGTTTTGATCACCGTTTCTAATGCTGTTTTTACATGTTAAGTGCAATGTCCAAGTAGTACAATACAGATATTTCGTATGCTTTCGTTAGGCCTACTTATATCACTCTATGGACGATAATCAATACACTAACACTGATGAAACGATCACAAGAATCATTTAATTATAAATGCATTTCTTGCAGCTAAAATTTGTCAATTTATGGTTAACACAGTCTTTATAGATCAGACCTTACACTCAATTTAATAAAACTATATGATGCAAATTTATATCTGAGATATTTTTCGATTGAAAATTGGGAATGTCACACACTCACTGGACCTCAGAGGTGGCAATGAAAAAGAGAGCTACATACCTCCTTTTCAGAGTCTTCGGCATGTTAGGCAGGATAACTCGAAACGTACAGTACATGTACTTGCAAATGCAGCGTAACAATGTGAGAACAAGGTTGAAACAACGACCAGCCGTGATCGAAAGGGACATATCGCCTATGGCTATCAAATCCACATTACAAGAACTCTGCAGCCTTAGCCACAAACCTGGTTCGGACACGGCCTGTCTTAAAGGTCTGTACACAATCATGGCCGCTAGATTACTCAACAGAGCCTGGGTAGGTTTAACCATTTTGTCTCAAAACAACTTTAGTCGGGGAATATGAAACAGAGGGCAAGGGTTATAGTAGAAAGTAGAGATGGGGAAGCGTCTGATGAGTATATTAATAGATAGGGCTCGTTTCCCAGTTTCCACTTGTCACCATTCATGTCATTCATCACTGTCATTGTGACGCCCCAACTACTAGTATAGCATAACTAGGCTTAGTCCCAACTGTAGTGCTGCAGTTGGGCTGGCCCAACTATTGTTCGACCAATGTCTATGGCAAATGTCTCAACATTATCCAAGTCAATGTGTCTCACACTTGACACAATTCATCATCCAAAATCTAGCCCTATGACCAATGACATTACATTTGTAAACAATATGACTTTGGCACATGCTGGGCACATCATGCACACAGGACCTCTCTGCCGTAGTTGGGCTCGCCCATGGCTGGCCCAATTGTAGCACTCTAGTTGGGACGGGCCCAACTATAGTTGGGACTTATGCTATACATGTAGTTGGGGCGTAACATCATTCATGGACATGTCGGTGATTGTCACTAGCCATTGCTAGCCTGGGAAATGTAAATTTGGGGGCCCTGTCCTACAATAAAAAGGGAGAGTTAGCTACATTTTAGCTTTTGAATTTACCTTGGGAGATGACTGTGACATCATGCTCAATAACTGTATGGTTAATGTCAAAAAGGGTAGGGTTTTGAGGGACATTTTGAGGGGAAGCTATGAGCAGTGTTTTAACACATGACACATGGTGGATTGAAATCTGCATTGTTAGTTTACCAGTAAGAAATTCTCATTTTCTCACAATTTTCAATTTGAAATTTCCACAAATTAGGGTCAGCGCAATAAAGAGAGTGAGTGTTGCCTTTGTTTTTTGGGTGTGACTTACCAGTTTTGCAAGATTAAAATGTAAAAAACTGGGGGGTTCCCAAGTATATTATCCCGCTAGCCCAGGATGGACGACGTCTACATTGCATTATGACTGCAATGAAGACGTCGTCCAACCTTGGCTATATGGTCACCATGGTCACTTCTACATGTTCTAACTTTCGGTTTACACCAGCAATAGCATAGCAAGCCAGGTAACGTGTAGGCTGGTAGGCCTACGTAGCTAGCGTTACACTATTTGTAGCATAGGCCTACAGGCTTACTCAGCCTACTGTAGCTGGTACCGCGCATGATTATTTACAGGGGCCTTACTCCCCGTCTTCCAGAACCATATACAGACAACACTAATTCTCCTTTAAAATATTATAACAGCCATCAGGAACTGAGAAAGTGATATTTAGCTTGTCCTAAAAGTGAAATTTATCTAAGAAAATTTTGAAGCATTTACTAAGTCTTAGAAAACACTTCTAGTTTTTCAGTCCCATAAGTTTGTGCACAGGGGCATAAAGTGTTGTCCGTATATGGAACTCTTTCCCTGAGCTGTACATGCAGGTTTGCGGGTACACCATGCAAACTACAAGCATCTCTTCAGAAGGGGTTTGGTTCTGAGAAACTACCAAACTATGAAACTGACAGTATTGCTTACGATTGTTGAAGACTTTATTGGCTGTGACACAAATGTGTTTGACCTCCTGCATGACGTACATGTACATGTTTTGAAATTGATTTACAGCAGCTGTCGCAGATAGGCAAATCACCTTGCCTGAAAGACTTTCTGACTTCCAGATCAACATGCCATCAGATAAGAAGTATAAACACTCCCCTAGCAAGGACCCGGTCTACAGTGACTGACCCTAACCAACGCCCAGTTCCTGGGGGCAGTCAGGCACGGCGGCTACCTGGAAATCAACTTTCTGAGGATGAACTGATGATGAAGGAAATGGTGGCGAAATTTGCCAAGGAGCAGATCAGTCCGTTGGTCAGAGAGATGGACGAAAAAGGAGAGACAGACATGGGCATTATTCAGGCACTGTTTGACAATGGAGTAAGAAAGTCACCTTAATTCTTATACCCTATAGTTCTGCATGGTATTTTATTTATTTATTTCTGATGTTTATCCAGGGTAACCTATTCACCATAGGGTGGTCTCTGACATAACATAAAAAAAAACACATGTACAGTGAACAAATTAAATAAATTAAAAAATGAATTAACAAAATAAAAATTAAATATAACTTAGAATTATATCTTTAAAAAAATAACATTAAAACTGTTGAAGAGCTGATTTTAGAGAATGTTTAAAAATGCCAAGTGATGGTGGCGATTTCACAGATTGGTCCAAATTATTCCACACTGATATCAAAGTGAGCAAAGGGCTGTGTCTTAGACATTCAGAATTAAATTTTGGTACAAATAGTGAACTTATGGCATGCCGCGTATTATAATTGTGGATCTGGTTAGTTGGAGTTAAACGGTCCTTGAAATAAGCTGGTGCCAAATTATGCATACACTTGTACATTACAACGGCACAATGGTTCAATGGCATCCATTTTAGCTCACGAAATAAATCAGTTAATGGAGTATTGTAACCCTTACTCAAGATAATTCTAGCAGCTCGTTTATAAAGTTTCTCAAGCTTACTTATATATATATAACGGGTTTTTTTTAACGGTTTTCTCAAGCTTGTTATTACACTGTATGTGTCTGGAACGCATTAGACCAAATCTGGGCGCAGTAATCGAAGTGAGGCTGGACAAATGATTTGTTGCGTAGCAGCAAGGAATCGGTCGGAATATAAGGCTTGAACCTTCGAAGCATACATAATTTGGATTGGAGAGATTTACAAACTTTCTGGACCTGGTCATGCCAATTCAATTCTTCATCTATTAAAAGCCCAAGGCACTTGGCTACTTTCACACATTTTAAGACATTACCACAAACACTAACGCTAAAGTTGTCGACAGATTTTAGCTTAGCCCTGGAACCGATTAGCATAACAGCAGTTTTGTCGAGATTAATTACAAGCTGATTTTCATTTATCGAGTTCATGACTTGAGTGACAGCTTGAAGCAATTTGTTTTCTATTTCATGAACATCCTTGCCACTTGCAGATAATGTAGTGTCATCTGCATACATATCAATTACACCTTCAGTGACAGAGTCAGGCATATCATTGACATAAATAGAGAAAAGTAGCAGTCCCAGGATAGACCCTTGGGGAACTCCTGTACAAATATTTAAAAGACAAGAATTTTCACCTCTAAAAAAGACTCTGAGTGCGATCCGAAAGATATGAATGGACCCATTTAACAGTTTTGTCAGAACACCCCAATAATCTCAGCTTTCTTAACATTGATTCATGGTTGACCGTGTCAAATGCCTTTCGCAAGTTAATGAAAGCGACACCTGTTAAGTTACCATCGTCAGTGTTTTGGGACCACAGATTGACAAGTTTAGCCAAGGCTGTGGTGGTTGAGTGGGATTGTCTAAAACCAGACTGGTTAGAGTGCAAAAACACATGATCGGAAATGAATTGCGAAAGTTGAATGTGAACGGCCCTTTCAAGGATTTTACTTATAAGTGGAAGTATTGAAATTGGTCTGTAGTTACCGAAGATGGAAGTATCATCAGACTTATGTAATTGATTGATCGGGCAATAATAATTTGAGAAGATTAACGCTGATGCCATCATCACCCGTAGCTTTACCTCGAGTTCATCATTCTAATCTCGTTAGTTACAAAATCAACAAAAACTGGTTCTAAGGTAAAAACATCGTCCGATTCACTGTTGGTATTGTGAGTTTTAGAATGGTTACGTGATACTTCTGCACAGATTTTGGCAACGGATGAGACAAAATGCTGATTAAAAGCTTCAGCTATCACATATTGGCCCATTTGTCAAGTTTTCTGTATCAGTAAAGCTAGTTAAAATGTTGTCAGTTTAATCATCTGGAAAAGTTTGTTACAATTTGGCCGACAACATTGACATGTATTTGTATCACAACTGAAGACTTAAGTCATGCTTTGACAATGACTGGCTCCTGAAAGATGTAAAATACGTGCATATCACCAAGAGAAAATACTTCCCACTTCACCTTCAGCTTCTGTGAGATTGCGAGGCTGAATCTCATTTGAATGCGTTTGTCGCTGCAGCTTGTACACATTGACCGAACACTGACTTGTTGCAAAAAAGTTCAGTATCATTTGGGCAAAAGATGAACGGGTATGAGCAATGTTAAGCAGGAACGACAAAAGCACAAGTTTAGTTTATGCATTCTGATACCTCTTCAGCATTCAATGTTTGAAGGCAAAGTGTACAAGCCACACTGGCACTGCTGTACTGCAGCTTGGGGAAGAAATCTAGAGATGCACAGTGAAAAAGATTTAATGGTCAGTGTTTAGAGGAGGGAATCGACCCAGAAAATTACATTTTAGTGAAACCTACAGAATATGCATGTAGCAAACAAAAACAAGATGAACCAAAATAAATTTGTTTTTGAAAAATAAAGACAGTTTTAGGGGACTGTTTCACTTCCCTACCTTCATGTCCTACTCAAAGCAATGCATGTAAAATGCCCAAAAGTATAGCCTTTAGGAAGGCCATCAAAGGTTGCCTTAAAAACTTCTAAATTGTTGCCCCATCCCCTTACCCCAACCCCTGAAAATCTGACTCGGGATCCACCCTTTGGAGCTAAAAAACCATTGGACATCTCCATCTGGTTGGAATTCAAACCTTGCATGTCACAGATGCGAGGGATAGGAAGGTTCCCTCACTCTAACTTGCTTCCTACACGTATTTACATGCATGGAATCCATTGGTAGTTACTGCTTCATGTTGCATTGTAGCTGATGGGCACTGAAATTCCCGAGGTGTACGGTGGTCCAGCAGCTTCATTCTTCCAGTCTAACATCATCATTGAGGAGTTGGCTAAGGTAGACGCGTCCATTGCCGTCTGCAATGACGTCCATAACACCCTTGTTACCACGCTCATACTCCAGCACGGCACTGAGGAACAGAAAAGGAAATACTTCCCGAGACTGATGACCGACACGGTATGTTTTTATCAAAAGTAATGCTGATAAATCTCAGTACTAAAGTGTTTGGTGCACAAAGACCCCCTACCACCACCAGTGAACAAGAGAGATGCTGGACTGACTGTCTTGGTTTCTGCCTCCATAATTGTTTGGAGTTAGTCCTATAGGGATTTCAAAGGACCCGGGAGCAGACTATCTGCCTTAAACTAAAGCAAGGAACAGCATGCATCAACCAGGGAAGTGCACATTGGCCAGCAATGGATAAGCCTAAAGGCAAGAAGTAAAAGTACTGTCTAGCTGTTCGTTACCTTTTAAAGGTGAAGGACTGAAAAAAATGAACATGCCACTTATATATTGTTGTATGTGGTAGGGCTCTTAAATTCAGCTGTTGGATTTTTTTTTGCCTAAAGAGATATAAAGAGGTATCTTTGCAGGGGTTTGAGTGGCAGACACTGGACCAAGATGACCACAGTCTAAGTAGAGTATCAAATTCAACAACATAATATAAACAGATCCTAAATTGTAAAACAGTGGGCATTGCTTATGGATTTATTGAAAGGGTATTGTCAGTGAAAAGGAACTGTTTGTTGATCTGCCTGCTTTGTTTTTTTCTTTGTCCACTAACTCTTGTCCTGTAGGTTGGTAGTTTCTGTCTGTCTGAGGCTAATGCAGGCAGCGATGCCTTTGCCTTGGAAAGCAAGGCCATCCAGGATGGAGATTTCTATTTCATCAGTGGCAGCAAGATGTGGATAACCAGTGCAGCTTTTGCTGGCGTCTTCCTCGTCATGGCTAATGTGGACTTAAGTGCAGTGAGTTGTACACCCACAATATTTGTTAAGGAAAAAAGTCCTTTTCCTATGAATTTGTCTTATGCAAAGCCAGAGCTGTTCCAAAAGGTAAACTATACAGCCTTAGGAAAAGATCTAAAGAACTGAACACTATACACAACCCACTGAAGGTTGCCTTGAGTGCAGTTACATGCACATGAGCGACAAAAGAATATCTGAACCTTTAAGTTTTGTAAAATGTTCATATTCATTTACATGTATGTACGTGTTAATGTTTGTGAAAAAGGTAATGTGACTTTTTTCCTTGATCGAAACGAGAAATGAATAAGAAAAGTTGGCCTTCTTGTAGCATTATGCCTGTTCTTCGACAAAATACATGTATGTCAGAGGAATTTGTCAGTCCCTGTAGCGGGACATTTTAATTTGTAATTTGTTAGTACCATTCAAAGATTCCTTTGTTGTTCTCATTTTCCTCAGAACTATAAGGTAAAAACATCAAGAGAGAGATGCATGTATAACAAAACAATTGGTGACTGCTGTGATGGGGGATATAACATTTGGAACACCCTTAGGTAGGTATAGCGCCCTCAGCCTTATCTTGGGCGATGTGCATCCCTTGAGTTTTCAAAATGTCATATCCCATGTCACAGAAGTCAACAATTGTTGAATGCTATGCTTGCGTACTGCATTTAGAGGACATCAGTTGGAATTTATTTCATCATATTTCATCTTAATGATACGCACTAGTTCAAGTGCTTGTTTCAGTGTAGGGAAATGAGGAGTTACATGTACACGTAGCATTCTAGTCATCTATGTCTGGATTCTCCCCACTATTACAGGGTTACCGAGGCATCACAACATTCATCGTGGACAGAGACACAGAGGGACTGACAGTAGGCAAGAAGGAGGACAAGCTGGGCCTCAGAGCCTCACCCACCTGTGAAGTCCACTTTGACAATGTGCGGGTGAGTTTAAACAATCCAAGTTTGCATGATGGTGAGTCTGGGACTTGGGCTGGAGTCTTTGACCTGAATTATAATCCAGAGCTTGATTATGATGCCTTGTGACTCCTGAGACACAAATTTTGATTGACAGTGGCTTAGCTGAGATACAATCGAAGTGTCCCTCTGTCAGTCTGCAATTTTTTGGCTGATGTTCAGTGGTAGTGATCTTGGGTGGTGGGGTTAGGGGTAAGTCTGAGTCCAAACTAATATTTGAATATTTGGTTTTCCAAATTCCCTAAGAAACTAGAAACCAAATGTACTCATTTTTACTAAACGTAAATCAGAAAACCTTTGCAAAAGTGTCATCTGGAAACATGCTTGTTGGAATGCAATTTTACCATCAAATAATTGAAATTATCCCCCTTTTTATTTTACTGATTTTCACCATCGAACAATCAATTTTCGAAAATAAATAATAGATAAACGATCGAATATCTGAATACTCAAATAGTCTGCACCAACCCAAGGAGGGGGAGGCATTTTCAATTTGTCTTCTTTGCCTCACCCCTGTTCTTCCCCCCTCTGCCCTCTTTCCCCAGAAATCAAACAAAGGAGAAAAAAAAAGAAATTTAAAAAAGAAAAGGTAAAAGAAAACGAACACCAGAGACCTGAAGTTATTGTTTTACTGTACATCGATACATATTCAGCAAGTTCAGACCACACACATAGCATAAACCACCACCTGCGTGCCTTGGGCCACTGCCAGTGGATGTGTGTGCACGCACACTACATGTAATTCCCCCATTTGCTTTGCCCACATGTAAAGTCCAATAAGTCTGTTGAGGTGGACCGGTTGATCTTGACCTTGGCCACTGTACATGTACATGACCTGCTGTATGCAATACTGCTCTATGGCGACCCCCAGCATTTTGCAAAATATTGTTCAAATGACTCTTACGAGTTAGTATATACATGTATATGACATTTGGCTATATAAGCAACAGTTGGATTCACTGTATTTTTTCCTTTTTTGGCCAAACTGATAATGACTGTGAGTGGTTGAGACGTGATCCTCCGAAACAGCCCTGCATACATGAATATGTATTGGAGTGTTTTAAACAGCACTCCCCTGTATGAAAATGAGGTGCAGCCCAGGCCCCAATCCCTAATTCCCATTTGCACCTACCCCCTTCTCCTATCCCCACTCGTCAAATTTTTCCCCACAACTGGTGTGTTTGCACTTCCTTCCCCCAGATTATTTCTTTTCCCCCTCACTTTCCTTATTCCTGTTGCACAGTCTGGCAGCACCTCTGCTGATGTCTCCCTTTAATAGACCGTATTTGTGGGGGACCCAATTTCAGTCAGATTCCCCAACATAGTATATTCATTTGAAAACGTTAAACTTAAGAGAAAAGTCATTCTGACCCCCCAAAATCACCTGGTACCATCCCGCTAAGGATGTCAAATGTATACAATATGTTCAGGAATACAACTGATATTGGGTCCCCATGACCACAGCCCATTGTCGTTCATCCTTTCCTCATTACGGTATCTTGCCATCGATATGCACAAATACGCATTCGCGTCAGAAGACTTTTTGTGTAGTATTTGACGTCAGAATTTCTATTTGTCATGATTGTGAAGTGTAAAATCTGTCCAAAGTAAGAGAAACAGCATGATTACTGTGTGGACTCTCCTGGTTAATACCTCAATATTGCAGCATTTCATGACACCCGTCACATTGGCAAAATTCGCTGTGCATACAACATGATTGATATCCAGACTGGGGACGCACAATGCATTCAAGGAACTTATAGGGGATAATAATCATGCTTATCTTGTCATCTTCAGGTGCACAAGAGTCAGATATTGGGGCAAATTGGACACGGGTACAAGTATGCCATCAGTATGCTGAATGAAGGCCGGATTGGAATCGCTGCCCAAGTAAGAACAATTAACTACCTGCATGTATACTCCGATGAAATACAGAATAATGCTTATTTTTGGTAAGGAAACTTCAACAACCTTTTCCTAAAATCACAAAAACTGTTTTCTCCTTCTTTCCTGGTACAGATGGTTGGGCTAGCACAAGGTGCATTGGATAACACCATTCCTTACCTGATGGAACGCAAACAGTTTAAACAACCCCTATGGGACTTCCAGGTAAACCAAACTCCATGCTAGGAAAATTGGCTAAATTCAAAATACTTGCTTTCATGCTTTGAAGAAATTTGACTCTTAATTCATATCGCATCTATAGACAGCATGACCAGTGTTTACAGACTGTTTTGTGGTCATGTGGCTCCAACCTTTATGAGCAAAAAGCCGCCCAGTATATTTTACTCTGTGTGTTTTTCAGTGGAAAAGCACTATAAATGTACTCAATATATAGGCTTTATTTTTTCTGTGTTGTATGAAAGACCAAATACAAATTTTTGTTATGGAATGTGAAGTAGGAATATTTGTCTGTCCAGACAAGACAGCGCTGGTGACATCATTCCATCTCTTTCAGTGGATTTGTCTCGTATATGATGCTCGGAGAGCTAAATTGCTTAGAACACTATTCCAAAAGAGCTAAAATCCAGACACTCATTATTCTGTCACAAGTAGAAGTCCATACTTTGTAAGCGGTTTTGAGGGTGATTTCAGCTTGTGAGTTTACAACCAATATTTACCACTTAATAGAATACAAGCTGTACATCTTAAATGTTGAGGATTTAAAGGGCATACATTTGCTCTCTTTTATTATTTCTTAATGTCAAAGAAAACTCCTTTTTTGTTGCATCTAACACAAGAAAGTGATGAATGTGTGGCCTCAAAGAAACTTTCCGGAGCAGTGACAATTTGCAAACCAGCAGACCTGTCAGAAATACCTGTAGGTGCAGATAGACAGAATTCCCAAGTAAGGTCACTTTTAAACTTTCAGCCATGGGCCAGGAATTCAATGACAGTCTGTTCTCACGCACAAAAGGCGTTGTGTTAACCCTCAAATATTCAACACCAGGTCAATAATTAATGATTACTGACACTTGTAGGCAGTACAGCACCAAGTTGCCCACCTCAGCACACAGGTAGAAGTGGCAAGAATAATGACCTACAATGCAGCTCGTATGAAGGTAAGGATTTGTAACCATAACAAATATCACTTTTAGCTCCTTGGCACTTTTGTATACAGTGCTTGTTCTTGGCAAGGGCTTAATGAGTGTGGCCTTTCCAAAACTTTTGGGTTTTTTTTTATTTCACCTCCAAAATATGGGTGGGTGCATTGTGCTAACTAGCTAAAATTCACCTTTCATTCAAAAGCAACAAAAACCCCTGTGAGCTCTTCTTCACAGCTGGTTTCACTTGAAGTTCATGCTAATTGTATTGAATAGCACGTCAAATGTAAATATAAAAAAATTGGGTGGATGGATTAACCACATCCTGCCCGGGGCATTTATAAATGTTGATTCTGCTGGGCCCGAGTATTTTCTTTTTTTTCTGTTTTTAAAACTCTTTAAAAATTCATACCTTCCTTTACTGGACACTTACACCCACACGAAGGACTATTTGGTTTGTACTCTATTCTGACAGACAATATCTATTGACACCCAAGTATTTCAGCCAGGCCTGCCGCCTTGTAAAAAGAGCCCAGATTGTGTGGTGTTATATAACTTTCTTTTGTTCACGAACCTGGCACAGTGTGCTGCTGACATCTTTTCGGGGCCAGATTAGCATGCAACGGTACTGTGTGGCTCATCGCTGCGGCAGTTGAGTGCTTTTGTCCCCGGTGGTAATCCACTGGGACTGAATGCTGGTTACTCTTTTAAAAAAATGCTGGATTATCTCCGCTATTGAATATGAAAAAATGTTGGTTATTCCCAGCAGCCTTGTCTTTTGTTATAAGTACGGTCTTTTGTCACAAGGCCCAGTTCTCTTTGTCCAATTCGGACACCCCGGCTGTGCATATAAAGAATATGTGCCTGAAACCGGGCTCCCCGGCAGCAAGTGGTTAAAAAAATATTGGAACAAAAATTGAAATTTAACAATACTGATAAATTTTAAAGACGTACTTTTAGGCAGGTTTAGTTTTATATCAGTGCACATTTTGAAATTTCAACTGGGAATTCAATGTACAGTGTTCCATCAAGCACTTGTTCTAAAGAGGTCACTTTCTTGACTTCACAGTTGGCACAAATAGGCAATTGGACACTTTGCAAGAGAAATTATCACTACTTTATTAAATACCTTTTCTCCATGGTGCTTGTGTGAGGAAGTCCTGCAGGAATGTTTGTCAAACTATTTTGAATGTATCTGTGCTGACCGTTGACCTGTAGGATGCAGGCCTGCCAATTGTCAAGGAGGCTGCCATGGCGAAGTATTTCTCTTCTGAGGTTGCCACCCTGGTGACCTCACGCTGTGTGGAACTCATGGGTGGGGTGGGCTTCACCAAGGACTATCCCATTGAGAAATACTACCGGGACTGCAAAGCTGGTCAGTGCACTTGTTTACAGATAGAGGGTTTAGATGATGCGCAGTATTGTTTTTGGATGAAAAACTGAATTTTTTAACAAATCTGGATTTTTTGAAGTATTCGCTGAGCTTTAAAATGATGCCCAGGCTTCAAACTCTGACCCCTATGAATCATAGTGGTAAGCAATCTCTTACTGCATTACTTCAACTTTTGAACAATGTAACATACAAAGTAAACATAACTGCCCATATACAGTGGCCCAGTAAGGTTATATCAGATGGTCAGTCTTCAGGATCATGTCAGACTGTGTGTGTACGAAACCAATCGGAACCACAGAAGTGTGCAACTGTATATGTGTCACCCGCTCCTGCCAACATACATTTGCAGACTGCAAAGAGACTCTGGCAGAAGTCCTCTCAAGACTTGTGGACATTGCTCTTCGCTCGTGCAAAATGTTTAGTCTCCACTCCCTGGTATACAAACCCTGTTTCGAGAACCACATCCATAAAGTTACCTCTGCGGCTGCGGCTTGGATTAACACATGTGCGTGTAGATGCCATTGGCTGGAGGCTGTGGCCACTCTTCCTAGAAATGTGTGAACTCCCATTTGCTGGTTGTTGATTTAAATTCTGCCCAAACTTTGAGTGGTTGCTATGAGCAATTGTGATTTGTCCACTGCAGTCTCATGGGCTAATTTTCAGAATTACTTTCTTGAGTGAAAGAGACTAGAGGGTACCGCTTTAAATACATACAGTAAGAAAACTTGTGACTTGCTTTCCAGGTTGTATCTATGAGGGAGCCAGCAACATTCAGCTGAACACCATCGCCAAGTGCCTGCAGGCAGAACTTGCCACAGGGAACTAGTCTATGAGACTTCAAGCGAGAGGGTGCTTTCCTCACAATAGTATTTTACTTCTACCTCTCCCTGCTTCCTACCATTCAAAAGGAAACTTGCAGTTGAAAATTAGATGAGGGATGGTCACTGCTGAAATATTGGAACCTGTATATACACCCTTTGCATGACAGCTGTCTGTGCTGTTCCCAGTGAAATAACAAGTCACTAAATTTTATGTCGAGTTTTGTTGTGCTTTTGAGTCAAATTGAAGTGATGCATGAGAGAATCGAGTACAATAGTACTAAGGTATTTAAACACCATCCAACAAATTAAAATTCGAGTCAGAGACTGGATTTTGAATGCAGCAATTAATTGTTGGTATCGTTTAATTTCCGTCTTGACTTCTACAGTACATGTAGTCAAACTACTGTACGTGTACTTGTAAACCAGCAGCATTATAATCAAAGTAATCAAGCAGTGGTGCCAGTTATGTTTTGGACTTACATGTAGATAACTTCTTGAGAACCTACCTTAATCATGTCACCAAAAAACTGGGTCTGGCATTGCACTCGTGTGGAGTCATCAACTCATCGTTACAAAGCTGTTTGTGGAGCTGTCTACCTGATACAATCAAGACTAGCAAGCTTTTTGTCATTAGCGACAAATAGGCTGGGGCAAAAGTTAAATGCATTGATGATGTGCCTAACGTGGATGCTGCAAATTGGCAAACTACAAAAGTAATTGGTTAGTATGAGAGGACTCAAATCAACAGATTCACATATTGAATAGTCGATATCATGCAAATCTGTGATTCAGCAATTGTGCAGGGCTGTTCATCATCATATCTTGTCTAGACTTTATAAACTAAATCTTGCAACTTTTTGGCACTCCATTGATCACATTAACTGGATGTCAACCACATCTCTGCACGGTATGCAGTTACGCATCACATAGTTACCGCAAGCTGAAAATGAATGTTTTGTAGTGTACACTATGGTAAACCTGTGCTCCTGCTTCATGATATCTACAAACAGGTGCACACATGCGTTATCAGGTCTGAGCGGGACCAAGAGATGGCTCACTTTTTTTATCAACGCTGGCTCCTTTGATGGGAATTGCACAATTCCAGTTCACAAACAATTATGAAGTGCATGCCTTGCACGCCCGTTGCTACCATCAAGATGCTGCTTGATTGAACATTCACCACCATGGCTCTCTCCAACCCATGAGCAGGTTCTTTTGCCCCAGAGGCAATTGTTGTTACACTCCTTAGATGGCATCTGGGTCATTCTATACTTCTAATTTGGGGTTGAATTTGTTCCCGTCCCTGTTATTTCCAAGACTGAATAAGTACTGTATATAACCTGCCAAACAAAAAGTTTGAAATCAATTTCAGTGATACATCCCTTGTCAAACTTGTCAGATGGTATACATGGCAACAGGGACGGAAAAATGTCACACTTTGGACCCCAAGTTTATAGAATGACCTATCTGATTGCCATGCAGTATATGGTATATGTGGGTACATTCATTAGTGAAGAACGAGGAAAAGCACATGCCTTTCCAGATAGCAGCTTCTTGCAGGTGCAGTGGTTCCTGTACATTGTTTCCAGAAATTGTTGCACTAAATTGTATGTCAAGTGACAATATAAATACAAATAGATGTTTAACTTTTGTAAATACACACAGTTGTTATGGTTGCAAAAATATGTGCCCATTACACACACGTATCCTAAATTATTGTTCAGGGTTTACTTGCCAACAGGGTCACCCACAATTCAAGCTGGATACTGAAGCTTGTGGTAGACAATGTCCTCAATAGCTTCACAAGGAGGCACTTAATTATTCAGGGGCTTTAATGTAGGGGGTGAGTTTGTACAAAGGGAAATATGAGACGCCTCAAAGAACACCAGACACCAGGCAGACAACCAATATCCTTTGACACGGTGAATCTTTACTGTTACCATCTATTTATCTACCGTTATGTTTTGATAGTAAGAATATCAATAATAAGCCTAGAGTTACTGTGTAAATGCCTGCATTTTTTTTTCGTAATCTCCTTATACATGTCAAAATAAACCAAAAGGAGATTTTGAGCAGACTTATTTTATACAATTCACGTGGCACTCACAAGAAAAAAAAAGTTGCATCCTCGGTGAGTGTGTTTCCTGTGACATATGAGATACATATTCCCTAGAGTCATTATTTTTACATTAAAGAAATCTGTGGGGGCAAGACAGCATGCCTCATCTTAAAAAGTCATGGAACGTCTTTACATGAAGTCGGTCTCAATAAGGCATGTAATAATCCGGTCAACAGTAATGAATAAGGTATTAAGATTGATGCAGTAGTACAGTCTCATTTGACCGTTCATTTGTAAAGTGCTCTGGTGCTTCGAGTAGTGTCAAATGGTCTGACTGTTCATCGGACTCGGAAGTTGCAGAGATTAAACTCCTGCGTACAGGTACATGTATCTGAAGGATGACAGTTCACGCTTATTTCAGTTCATTTTGGGCAAACATTACCTTGGCCTTTAAACATGCATTCTTCTCTTAAAAGTTTTTCCTTAACACTGTAAATCATGCTGTTTGCAAAACAATTGACTATTTGCTCCCCGTATTATATGAGAACAATCTGACAGGGTTGGGAAAGCCTGTTAATGGAGTTGTTACACCTAAAGAGCAAGTGTCAGATTAAAATGTATGATTTGGGGAAAAAAGGTAATCAAACAGTTCAAATTAAGGCGTATTTTTCTTCAACAGAATTACATGCAAGTACATAAAAATCTGCTTTGAGCTCAAATGTCCTTTGATGCATGGAGTGATTTTTTTGAACTACGCAGAACTGTTGGTGTGGCACCATTTGAGGAATCACACAAAAAGGTGGTTTTTTTCCTTGAGGAAAATTCAAACATTCAAGAAATGTCCTTGTTGTCTGTGGTAGTGGACAAATCTATCCGACTTGGCAGAAGACTGTGCTGAGCAACACATACACATACGTCAGTCCTTGTTAAATATGTTTGAGAAAGTCAAGTTTGTAAGTGATACGTCATCCACGTCCTAACAAGTGATACGCTGTACACTACAGTCACAGTAAAAAGACTACAAAGATGAGACGGTGATTTTTACCGTCACTTCTTCACAAGTTAACACAGAAAAGTACTCAATTAAAATTCGTGAAATTTTTAAAGTTGCATTCAATTTTATCCATCTAATTCTTCAACTTTTACAGAAAATCAAAAACATCACTTGTGCTAGTGCCAATTATTTTCTCCTTTTTCTGGAGAATTTACCTAAGCAAGAATGACCAATGACCAAACTGAAACCATGACTGAAATATTTCACACAAAATAGACTCTAAAAATTGGAAAGTCTGCAACTATAAGGTTGATTATCATATAATTTACCATATAGAAATGATTCTGGGATAATTATTTACAAAAAAATGCCTGAGCTCATACAGGCCCATTACTATTTTTGTAATTTCAATTTTTTTTTCTCAAAATAATTCCGGCGTGTTTATTTACAATCAGGAAAAAAACTGATGCGTGACAGTCAACTTCTTTAAAACTGGTGCATCGACATTTTCAATTTAAAAATTGTTTAAAAATGCCAAACACAGTGACAGGCTACCATCTACTTGTAACTTATGTTGTTTTTACATGTACTTGTTCCCCTTCCTCAACACAAAACTCTTGTCAGGTACAAATTTGGACTGCATACAATATCACATGTTCATTTATACAGTTGACTTGTCTAATTACAGAAGACTGTCCAGGATGTAGCTGGTCCAAACTGGTTTGAACCAGTTCTATCTAGTTTTCACCTCACAATCTACAGGACAGTGCTGCCCTTCGTTTTTAAAATCAGTAAACCCCAGAACAGCATTTAGTGGCATGGCATAAATGCACCTTACGAGGGATCAATGTTTAATATCAAAACAATGGGTTTTGAAATCACATGCTGATATGTACGCATTTTTAGATGCACCAAAACCTGTACACGAAACAACATCAGTACACTGAAAGACAACACATTTAAATAAATTTGCAACATCTGAAAAAATAAAAGGCGGTAATTTTTTTTCTGCTTTTGTTTTTGTTTCTTAGACAGCTCATCTCTTTATACAGTGATCAAAGTTGCTTAATTCAGTACCGTGCCTAGCTATCGTGCCCAAGCTTAGTATCTGTATGCACACTACACAACTGTCTGGCTAATCTTATTCACTTCCTGATCACGTCACTTGCACTTTACACCACACCAATGTGCACTCATGTCTGCACTTTACAAGACTCTTACTGTTTGGCACTGCACTTTTGTTTCTTGACTGCTCCCTTCATATCTGCCATTCTGAATACTGGTTCGGAGTCACTTTAACACCGCAAGAGTCACTTTAACACCACAATTCAAGTTACATGTAAGTCACAGCAAACAACTTCATACTGTGATGCAACTTAAGTTGGACTTGTCAACTCAATGTACATGTACTGTATGACAAGGCCGAGTTGCACCCTAGTCATGGTGGCGATAGTCCCCCACACAGCCTCCACCCCCTTCAGTAACAAGTGTTACAAACCCTTGAAAGACCTTGCTAAGGACCTCTACTCAAGCCAATCGCAGACTCTCTAACTTTGAAGTTCCAATTCAGCCGGTCCACTTCAACAGACCATAACTGCACCCAGTGCTAGTTTCACTTTTTTACAAAACATTCACAGACACCCCCAAAATACTGTAAACATCCACCTCTGCATGCAGCTGACACTTCTGACATCTATCCGTGGTCTTTCAACTACATGTACATGACATTAATGATACCAAGTACTGTATAAACAACATGCATGTCAAGTAAAGAAGAAGAAAAAAAAGGCCCTTCCATGCAGCAGACAATACAAGCAGCGGTCACCTTTAATAAAAATGTATTATACACATTGCAACATACCCCACACCCAATTCACACATGGCTGGTCAATCTACAGTACAATTACCAATCTAAGATTTGAACCCCCCTCACCCAAGTCATCATAGGAACGAAATTAACGCAGTTAAATTTAACTCTTTTAATGGTATAAAAATAAAATAACATGCTAAGATTATATTACATGGAAATCTTGAGGAGGTTGGTGAAGAGACTTGAATCATGCCTTTTAAATTGACAAAGTAGTCTTATATTCTCTTTTAAGATGTTTAATAGTTTACAAAAGCAACTTTAAGTCCTTGAGCTTTCTTGAGTGCAGCATACCAGTCAATGTAAGGTAATGGTGGAACAAGCCATAATCAAACTGGATATTTACCAGGCTGTGGACCAGAGGGTTTTTGTTTTGTTTTCTGATGACATATTACTTTGGCAATCCATAGCCATTCCCTAGAGAGAATATACTAATTCAAACAAGACCTCAATCACGTACTCAGCCCACCACCAGACATTAATGTAAAACTGCAATCCCTACCATTAGCTGCTTCAAGTATTTACTATCCACCCCAAGCTGAAGTGCACCCCCAATCGGCAAAAGGACAGGTGGTAACAAGCGGGTTCTTGCACGCGTTCTGCGTGTACACAAAGACCAGACAAGCCGGACTAAATAAGTTAGGCATACTCAGCGTGCTACGCGTCAAACGTGCACATACTTCTGCGCAATCAGTACCAAAAAAAAAACACACCCTCTTTTGTTCCAGAGCGGTAAATCCCGTATTCTTGTTTCACATCAAGTCACAACTTCTCTTCAAAGGAAGTAAACTGCAAAAAAAAGGATTTTATCACCAAGGGTTTTTTCCCCAAAGAAATACGCACATGCAACGTATCTGTAGGCAACAGGAGCATTTTGAAGGCTTAATTCTTTTCTCCTTTGCCTTTCTCTACAGCTACAAAATATGCATTAGTGCTGGCAGCTCATACGAGGAGCAGAAACCTTTATTATTATTTCAGACTAGTCACCACGTTGCAAAACAACATGCTTACAAAAAGTTTTAAATATTCTCAGTTGGAAAAAATCAATCCTGTTTGTATAGGCAATGGTACATATATTGGATTTTCCCACTGACCAGATCCTATTCCATAAAGCTGAGCAAACCTAACCCTGAAAACCTCAGGGACTGGCTTTAATAGACCTTGTCTACACTTTTTTCTAGGCTTGAAATCAAGTCCATAAATTGGCCATAGTTGTCCATGCATTTGCTTAGAAGACTCTGCCAGTTATGTGAACTTAATGCCCCCCTGCATTCTGAGTGGCTTGATGAAATGTGATCTACAGGTTCATGTTTAATAGGCAAATTCAATATACACTGTACCACCTGTCTTAACTCTGCCCTATGGCCCAATTCGTATGATCTGGCCACACTCTGATTGGCCAACAGCTCATGTGTAATTTATGCATGGATATGTTATGGCTACTTGGACCAGAAAACTTTCAAGGTACATGTATAGTGATCAACTTATCCAATCTAGGCAACAACTTGACTCATTTTTTTTCCCTGCCATCTTCCCTCTACCGGTATTGTCAGTTACGTGACCCTAATCGTGGCCTGAAATACTGTACTGCCTATTTTGGACACTCAATTTTGCTAACACATTCTGTATGTCTGTCTCTGTACAAAAGTCCACTCACGCAGGTTTTTGTCTCGCAAACCTATACTGCAATCAATCAAGGCAAAGTGAGATAGGCAAGCATTTTAAAACCAGGTTTATGTTCTCAAGAACCAACAGCAAGAACCAAGCTCTACATTACCCAGCACCCTTCAACTCAATCGGTCCTCAATACAGGTACCATGGCACGAAATTTAGAACAATGCCATCCGTTTTCACCTGCACATGTTGCACATTTTCACGGAAGGAAAATATCACTGCTTTCCCCTCCCCTCCCTGATTACAGAGCGACAGCTGCTACTGACCAAAAATCTTTGTGTAGTACGTGCTTTTCTAATTACTGACTTGAAACGACACTGCTGTGGACAACTGACTGTGAGTTTGCCTAGACAGACATTGTAAAATTAGACGCTATAAAATCTCCAAACTACCGGTGCATTTCTTTGAACATAAATACTGACAATTTCAATAGCGGACCAAGGCCCAGTGACATCTAGTGATCTTACAAAAGACCAGTGTAACAAACTCACTGAAGAGAGAGAAAACTGGACCGACCAAGAACTATGGTAAAAAGTGACTAGACTGGCCACAGAGAAATTCTTGGTCTAAAAACCCACAAACATCTATCAGCTAGGCAATTTCTGTTTTTAAAAATCATTTGTCTCAAGATGCGTCCGCAAGTGTAAATTTTTCATCTTGTACATATGCATACATATATAACATCCACGATATAGTAACTGCTTCTACTATCATTTTTTTTTTCACTTTTTTTTTAATGCAAAACTTGTTTTGCCCCAAATATGCAAATAAACCAAAATGTGGCAAGATTTCTTTGTACAGGCATACATGTAATGTTCCATACAACCATATAATGTAAAATCTGTCCTCCTCATGCTTTTCTGCAGATATGTTTACTGAAAAGTTTGTACACAAGTTTTGGAGGTTGAGAAGTTTTCAGAATAGTCATAGCAAGGCTTCCTTTATTAAAACAATTTTTCCCCTTTTTTTACAATGTATATTTTCAGTTTTCCACGGTCCCTTTCTTTCCTCTACATTGTAACAAATGGAGCTTTCCTCATCGGTCTTATGTTGTTTAAGTGGTAAAGTTGTTTGCCCTCTAACGTTTCCTCTCTTGCCAGCATCACATAATTTCCCTCTTGTTGGTCAAGCTGTACGATTGGTTCCCATTGGCTGGGACTTCGTGTCATTGGTTCTCGCTTCTCTGTGGAGTGAATGGACAAAACAAGGCATGAATAGCTACATGGATACAATAAAACATTATGACCACTGCTGAAAACTCAAGGAAATAATACCACACGCTACTTTATACAATTAAATAAGGATACTTGACCTCTGAGGTCTACCACAAGCGGCTTAAGAGTACATGTATGTACATCCCGACCCCGAATGTTTGAATAAAACTAGTAAAAATACGTTTACTTTCTGTTGAAATGTCTGGGATACAACCAATGTCATTTTTCACTAAAGAACATTCCAAACAATGACAAACAGGAAGAAAGGTCCAAAGAATTAGTGGCTGAGCACTCTGTATAGAACTCCCTTATTTGTGATCAGAGAGCAAATACATGTACATGTATGTATGTATGTGCAAAGGGCAACTGAATGTCATCAGTGCAACTATACAGTCAGCAGTTGGGTAAAGACAGTATCAGCTTGTACATATTCGGATGAAAAGTAGTCCTCCACACTTTGTGCTCTGTACGCACAACCCGTGTGCAGGACTTTCAATAGTGGCTCTCATGCGAAGCCCACATACATGTACATGTACCACTGCTAATAACGGCAGGGTTTCTTTCTATTTGTACCTAGTCAAAAGTCCCCTTTTCACCCCTCTCCCCACAGAATTCAGCCCCCTCCAGTCTTGGCTGGCTGGGTGCAGTTAGCCATGTGCCGGATGATTCCCAGCGGAACCTAGCAGACTGCATGCTAAACTGAATGACATACACAAATGCTGAACACGTACATGTTCATAATGCTGAGAACCATTGCTCAGCAGCACACATGTGCATGTACATGCACATCGATTACACACAGACAAGCCACTTAAAGCAACTGGTGAAGCATACTGTGGGCAGCGTGGGTCTCTACATTACAGAATGGCACTGCTTGTTCTACTAATGTGCAAGCCATGCTACATGTATGAAGCACACTGTACAAGGAGCAAGGAAATACCTGCTATGTGTGAGCAGTGCACAGCTACCATGAACTGTTTACTAAGGCAAACGGCTACAACAGAAAAAGATGGAGAGCTAGAACAGACAGGTGGCTACAACTGATATGCTTTATACAGCATTTTCTTTCAGAAAGAAAATATCCCTTAAGGCTAACTGTGAAGGTGACCAAAACTGAATGGCGACAACCACAAGGGTCCAAGAAATGGCGTTATCTTTTCAGACAGACAGCACACTTCAAAGGTGGCAATAAATTTTCTCGTCAGGATCACTACTGACAAAAAAATGGTGCAAATTAGGTAGTTGCTTGTGTCCTTTGTCGGTCACCCCAAGGCAAAAATCTTCATTATAATGCCTAATTAAAGAGGAATGTTTTGCTTTGAAGTGTACCCACAGGTACGGCATCTGTCATACTGAGGCTTCCCTTAAACTTCATGGTGGACATCTTGCATATATAATCCTGACAAACATGTAATTCACCTATTTAAACGGTGATACCAAACAAACACAAATGCAGTTAAACGCCTCAAGGACAGCCATACTGCTATTTTACACACACACTTCCAACAAAAATTGTATGCATAAAAAGTATTGTTTAAAAAACCTCCCACTTTTTAAGTTTTTTGACAAACAGAATGGAGAAATCTTGTCAATACTTTCAAATAATGCACTGTAAAAACACTTTCTCAATGACAACCCCTCATTGAGACACGGCACTGAGTAGTGCTTCTGTTCAAATATCGATCTCTTTTTGTGATGACGAAAACTTTGCTGGCATTTGACAATTTTAAGTTGTGTAAATCTTTCTGAACTTCATGCGCATTGTCTGAACATTCTAAATGTACTGTGCATGTGGTTGTGAGCATAAGCCTTGTCATGAACACTGATATTAACACAACAGGTCTAATTTCCAATGAAAACAGTAACATAATTCTATCACTTTCCCACACTGGGTCCTGTGCAAACAGTTTCCCTACCATAAGAAAACACGGATGAATTAAGAGCGTCAGAAAAAGATGTAGCTTTACTTATTACACAGACTTCCAGCAAAAAAAACAAAAACAAAGTTCTGCAGGTGGCTATCCACGGCTGAACACTTAGCATATGAAAAGATGAGAAAATAGAAAAATCAATTAAGGGCACGAGATGTATACTAGTGACTGGCAAGTGAACAGATTATTTACAATGACAAGTGGAAAAATACCCAATATTGTGTAGAAGAAATATGTCCTTCTACCCCATGCATTCTGTGTTTGTGGCTTCCTTGGGAACAACTGAACTTGTGCAAGATCTAAATCTTAGAAATACAGACATTCAAGTACAACTCCAAAAACCCAAGCCCTCATTTTCGCCACCAAGTCTCAGTTCAACAGACCTAAAGATTTGATGCACTATAGTTAACATCCGTTACGTTGAATGATACCTCAAATGCTGATTCCAAACAGCATTCTCAAGCTCTCTGATGCCAGTAGAAAAATGTGTTCTGATATCAGCGGAGGGATTCATCTACATGTTTATGTGCCACTGAGGTACCCATCACCGTGCATATATGTAGTTTGGTGAAATACAGGGTTTTAAGAAGTGTGGTAACGCTTGCATAGTAAAACTAAACTACATGTACTGTACATGTGCACGTGAAATCAAATCACAGCCTAAATTATTTTGTGAACAGCTCAAGTAACTAAACGGCAGTGTTGAAACTGGCAAAGGAAACACAATTCCATTTATCCACATAGAGTAGAAGTGGGTGGGCCACGGGGTCATGAATCCACCAAAATACTGCAAAACCAGCTGTTTGGTTTCAAACTGCATGTTTGTGAGGTGGAAGCACAGAGCAAAAGAAGTGAGTGAGCGGTGAAGATTTGACTGAAAAAAAGAAGAGAAAAACTAATTGTAAGCAGCTTGATGTGAAACATGAATAGCTCTGGTTGGTGCTGGGAATGGTGAGAAAGAGCAGGGGGGGAAGGGTCTTGCTACCTTGTCAAGACTAGCTGGACGAAGCCTCAATCCTCATCTGCCCCCGATGATGAACAAGGGCACTGTGATTTACAAAGGGAGCAAGAAGTCACACATTGATCTCATTTCAAATGATAAGGCCGTCCTGACGCTGAACTGGTGTTTTTGAGCAGTTTCACTCAAGATGATTACCAAAATTACCACTGTCTGCACTTGGACATTTGACTCGAGCAAACACACATACACGTACATGTGTTATCAGGATTGTGGTCACACGAAACTGAGCTGACAATTATATTTACACCTGTCTGTCATCAGTCATCCCATATCATTGTCTTGTTTCTTAAAATGTTCAGCCTTTTGGAACACTCTTGGTCAGTGAAGCGATAATATTTATGAGTGCAAAGGTAATAATGATTTCGTTCAGTGACAGACTGAATATTCCATTCCATGAAGCAGGCTGAGTGGAATGGAAAATTCAATCTGTCAACATTTGATATTGTCCTTTTCACTGCACAAATGAGCAACATTCATTATATATAAATCCTCTTTATGTACGATGTTTTATCTTCTCAGTTGGCATGAAAGCGTGACACAAAATTCATAACATGACATGCAGCCTGTGTGATATCTTTGGCTGGCCAGTCTGCCGTTTTTTATGCTTTGCTCTGTCCTTTGTTCAATTTTGGATGAAAGTCACAGGAAATACCAGTAGTTGTGGATTGGATACCTCAGGAAAGTTTATTATACATGTACATGTACTTTGTAACACTGCACTATAACGCAGGCAAGCTAGCGTTATCAGTATCATACCTCGTGGACAGATCGCTGCATATCTGCCTGGGAGTAAATTGAGTTGATAACTATACCAGCAATGGGGACACGATCGGTCAACCCTAAACCACGGTGGAGTATTTGTCAATAAATAAGTAAGAATCAGAATGTTGTGACTGAATATCCTATGCAACCTTTGGCCCCTGGCATTTGTAAAGTACAAAACAATCCCACTCCCCAAACTGTGTTGATGTAAGCATGGCCCACTTTAGGGGTGATCACACAGTTCAACCGGGGAACTAGAAAGCAGGGCATTGTTGTCTTCTTGGGTAAAGGGACGTAGTATGGCAGTGAAGAAATGTGCACAGTACGTGTACATGTATGTGCTAGTAGGTAAGGTACTGGTTGTCCAAACACCAATGGACCTTTTTCTCTCTTGGTTTCTATCAATGCATAATGAGTTAAAATCCTGTTTCCACTGCCACTTTGTGCAACTGTCCCACAAGGCCCTGTGGACTGTATGCAGGTAAACCTTTAACTCAGCCCACAAACCACTGCCTGCGGAAGATGTTACTTGAGGACGAATTAAACTGCTTGTGGTTGAATCGATCTGGGTGAGATGACCAGCACACTGATGTGTTATGAGAAAATGGGACCACAGTTAACAGTTCAAATTCCTTCAAGTTTTCTTGAAAGAACCTCTAGGCACAGCAGGAAAAATGACTGAACCTAGGTCCCCATAATTAGTCATAGTAATGATTTTTAAAGTAAACCACATAAGCATCCACCACCAAATTTCTCATGCACAGCTCTCAATCGTCACCCTATCCGTCGACTGTTTTCTTTACTAAAATTGTAAATGACATATACAAAATCTTCTGTTTAATGCGATAAACAAAACTGTCAATGATTGAATGGATCCAATCTGGGATCCTCAGTCCCTGAGATGATTAAACCCAAAATGATTCTTATTTTCAGGGTACAACTGTGACCAGTTTACAGTGGAGACTGTACAACATTAAACCTATACTCTGCAAGTTTTGCAGTTCTGTGAACGCCATGTGGGCATTTCTGTATGCAGTGGTGGGTGAACTGTCCGCTCGTCCTTGCAAGTGACTGCAACTGGTTTTGTACACATCAAAGAAGCTTGAATTAATCTGTGGAGGTCGAGCATGTATGGAGCAACAAGCATCCATGTGGGATGACTAGACTTGCGGCAAACTTCTGCAGAGCAACCCTGTCTTGGAGGGTTATCTTGAGCAAATGACTGCCAGGGATCGAAACCTACAGAGTCCAAGTCTGAGATGGACCGCAACGGTGCTTATTGCATCTACTGATTTAAATGGATAAATTTGGGATGAAATTATACCATCATCTGGGCAAGTTTACTGTGAAATAATACTGTTGACAATGACAAATGGGTAAAATGCCACGAAAAAGGTTTCAGCAAAATGGCCGCAACAGAGAACACCGATGCTTCCCTACCAAAAGTACACTGGAGCACTCCTCGATCAGTACCATGGGTATCAAATCAAGCCTTGCTGCATCCAGATGTGCATGCAGGTGCAAACACAACCTGATTGAAGCATTTAATACCAACAGCTGTTGGCGTATCACAGTCAGAGGAAAACAAAATCTGGCTACTCGGTCTTATTGCAATTTTAAAACACATGAGACTATTAAACTCTACTGGCAAAGGATAATAACTGACAGGAGATGATGCTGACATGAAATGATACCATTCTGGCCAGCATGCACGGCTAAGCATGTAATGAGCTACAAGTGTGCGCCGTCAGCTACTGAGGAAAAATGAGGGACTTTCATGTAGCTACTTGAATGTGCAATTTCTACAGTGGACGTCTTTGCTGACACGTTGGCAGTGATAATCTTCCCAACCCTACCCAAAGCCCGCCACTGACAATTCGTGACATCCTTGCTAATGGAACAGGTGGAGGGAGGCATGAAACATCCAAATGTCTGTTGTGTGTCTTTTGCTTTTTTCTGAGACATGGGGTTGGTCTCTGAAATAGCACCTGTACTGAGCAGATTACGAAGGCACACTTAGAACAAGAAATAAGCCTATTCAAAGCATCAGTCTCGATAATTCCATCTCAAACACGGAATAACTAGAAACCCGTGATTTTAGTTTTCCATTCAAGTTCTCAGTCTTGGAGAAATTTCTGGCCTTTAGATGATTGACCACCATGCCGTGTTGCTTTAATACAGTTAAAGCTTATTAAAAAGTTCTTTGCACATGAAGACAGGATGAATGAGAAATGAGATGTTCTATGCCTGCTAGTTCTCTCTCTGGGCATGCCACATTATCAGGCACTCAACTGCCACTACACGACCACAGGCCTTCTGTAATGGTATCTACGGATGTATCTAGCAAATGCATGACAGTTCCGACAGCGATCAGGAAGTTCTTCATGGGGAACAACCTCACAGCTTTTGGAGCTTTAGGAAAGTGTAATTTGTCGGTCTTACCTTTAATTTAAAAATTCTCCTAAAGAAACCTTCCCTTGGGGGTGGGGGTGGCTGATCCATGATCAGGTCGGGTGTTCTCGTCATGTTGGGCCCAAAGTGGTTGAGCTCCTTGTAGACCTCCGTCTCAACCATCTGGTCATAAAACAATGCCAGAAATTAATCCTAGAAGGAAACTAAACTTTGGAATTTGACTGACCTCCTCAGAGGCAGATCTGGGAAGGGTGGGAAGGAGAAGAGGTTGGATCCTGACTGCTCCTTCATTTCTCTTATTGAACAGAATAAGAAATGTGTTTGAAATAATGGAAGCTTTCTGCATACAAGAACTGCATGACAGAAAGAACCCTGAGCTACATGTACATGTAATTCATTTGGTGACAGCACTAATGGTTCCCCTTCCGCCCCGCCCCAGTCTGACCCACTACGGTCATTCAAAAGGGCAACAGCCACATGTGTTTCCAACCATACTTTCAAAATTTGAGAATACATGTTGGCTCCGATGAACTGGAGGTCATCCAAAATGTTATAAACAAATTTAACTCGCAGAAGATGCCATGGTTGATGAAGATTTTTTTGTTTTGGGCAGTTTAGAAGAAGTTTACCAGAAAACCGCAGGGGCAAAAAATGCTACATACCCAACCTTTTCAACAGAAAAACAGTATTTGGTAGCCATTGGCTCCTAATGGGGAAAAATCTAGGTGCCAGCACTTTTATGAAAATTTAGTAATCACATGTGCTGAATATTCATGAAAGTACGTACACACACGTACATGTAGTATACTATAAATACCCTGCGTTTACATCGTCCATCCATGCCGAAAAATCATGACCTGGACCGGAACACGTCCACCACACAACTTGCATACAAGCGCTAATGAGGTCAATCAACGAAATCAGGGTTTTCGCCAAGGATTCAGCCATGGATGTTATGATGTCCGTAGTTTCAGCGTGTCACGGGACACCCTGCTGCATGAATTGCGCTATTTCTGGCACTCTAAATCACAGCAACACCCTTTAATTCCGGCACGAGCTCTGCCTTTGAGGTTTCATTTACGTTGCAGGAAAAAAGCACCAAAAATGGAGCCCTTGCCATGCCGTGGTTTGTAATTTGGCCCTGGTGTCCGTAAACAGTGCATCAACAACGCATGTTTAGATTGGAAACCAACCAAACCGTGCGCGTGTGATCGCGGCACATGTACAGCGTACATGTGAAGTATGGTATATGTATATTAACACAAAAATAACAGCCCACTCAGTGCGATTCGATTCGACTTGCGCTGCCATTTCTATACTTTTCCGGAACGAACTTTGAGTACATAATCATTGCTTTTTTAATTTTTAAGCATACTCAGAATTGTTCAAATACATGTACATTTGTATGTAGTTTTTAAGCTATCTTAAGTCGCAAATGGCGACTAGATGGTGAAAATATGATCGCATTAGCAAAATTTTGGTTGCACTTACAACTGATTTAGGTGCTATTTAAAGTGTTGTACATACCGGTGCCAAAACAATGTGTCCCACTGCCAGGAAAAGTAACTGGTCAATGTGTCTTGTCCCTTACATTCCAAACACAGTCAGATTTTGAGAGAAATCTTTGCAGTTATAAATATGTCTATATGTTTCATAGTACCCAGTGCACAATTCTGTTTCTGGAGAAAATTTCTCCAAAGAGAATACACATTTCTGCATTGGAGAACAAATACACAACTTTCAACTGGAGAAGTCTTGGATCAAAGAACACCTCTAAGGAAAACATGTTTTCTCTGATTTTACCAGTTCAAATGAATATGGAAGCATCCAAATCGAACGCAGAATCATTTGTCTTACGACCTCAACTACAACAGGCTAAAAGGGCCTTTTGTTTCTGTTCATGCCAAGACACGAATTCTGAATGTAGATTGCATCATTCGGAGAAAACAGAAAAAATGAGGGGAACCCTCGCCCTGTGTTTGTAGCATCTTGACATGAACAGAAAAAAACCTTTTTAGCTTGAGCTCTGAAGACAAGTGACACTATGTTCGATTTGGATGCTTCCTTATTTATTTGAACAGATGAAATCAGAGAAAACCTGTTTTCCTTAGAGGTGCTCTTTCACCATACTTATACCTGTAGATGCTAATACAGGGCAGAGTGTTAGTTTCCAAGGGCCATAAAGCATAAGTCCTTAATGTGAAAAATAAAAGCCAGTAGACACTACTCTCACATTTTAGAAGATCCAGAACTAGGATGTGCTGTACATTTTTGGTGCTACATATAAAGTACATTTGATGCCAGCCTGTGTGGAAACTGATTTGACATTCTCAACGTTAGACAAAGCTTGTACTGTGGCTACCTAATGGCTATTGACATGCCTATTAATTTATCTTTTCCTAGCCAGCAAAATAGGCTATCAGCTTAGAAGTGGGCCACGCTTACTCACAAATATGTAACCTCCTGGTTGTTAAACATACGTGACCCAACCTTTCAAAACAAGTCTTAGGTAGCCAGCACTATCTTTGAGTGGCAGGCCTTTGATAAGCAAATCTTGCACAATGGAAATAAACAACAGTTGATGTTTTTCACTCAGGTAATGTCAAACCAGGAAACCAAACAAAGAAGCGTAAAATTGTCATTAAAACTCACTTTAAGAGAATCTGGTTGCTCAGATTCCTTTGTATCAGGTTTAAAAAAAAAATGGTTTACTGTCTGACCTCATTTTGCCAAGGAATTGTCACACAGCCCGAGTTGAATTTGCTGTAGAATTTGTCGTCGTTCTGGTCCAGGTTAACTCCTTTGACTGTGGAGAACTGCTCGATGTCCAATACGTCTTTGGCATACACTGCTTTGGGCTGTAGGACCGGGTGAAAAAGAAACTTCCACTTTAGAGAAACTGTCTGAGTGAATGTCCCCAGCAACTTCACAAGCAGTGAATACAAGCAGGTATCTATCACTTTCATATTCATGTACGGGTACATGTATTACAACCAAAAACTCTGGCAAGTTGCAAAGTATAAAATATTACCAATGGGAACAAATGTTTATTCCAAATGGAAACATGTGCTGTTCCTACTTACAGAGTCATCTCTTGTTTATCGGAACAAAACTCTGAAACGTCTGATACATGGCATACAAATTTTATGCGACCCTGTGCACGAGCCAATGAGGGTTGACTGCAGAATTTACTATGTCAATTTTGACATTGAGTTTGCCATCACAGGTCCATATGATACATGGCTGCTGATTGGTCAACATTACGAGGTCAAGAGGAGGTTCTCTTGCTTCATTAATCAGCAAATGTGCACAGATGTTATAGATGCTTATCTGCGAGTAAGCATCTATGGCATAGGCTAGATCCTACTAGGAATAATGCATGTTTCATGCTGGGACGTTTGTCAATGCCTTTGCATTATTTTATTCAGGGAAGGCATTCTTATCAGAAAAATTTCAAAGGGAACTCGCAGTGTTCTGGAAAGGACTTTTGAGGTGTTGCCAAAGCACTAAAGGCCAACCACAGACACTGTACTAAAAATACTTTAGAGCTCTAGTGGAGTCTGGTCACTTCAATTGGTAAGATGTGGGCCAGCCAAGGACAAGACTCACATCGGGCACAAACGGTGGGTCCACCTTGCCAGCCTCCAGACGGGTAAAGTTGATGCTAGCAAAGAAGGGTTCATCCTTGACATCTTGAGCAGAGTTGTTCCGGAACCCCAGCCGATTCTCAACTTCTTTTTGGAGCAACTGCAAATGAAAAGGTTAAACAAAGAAGGCATGTTTCTAACACCCAGCACAAGAGACAATACTGTGTGCACATTACTATGCATTAAGTCCACAGGATAATGCAGTAGCTTGCAAATTACCAAAATATTTGAGGGGGATCAACAGAGCCATCTGACCGCAAAAACTGAAGACTTTTTTTAAAAAATTAAGTGGTGTGTTTCAATAGTGCCCTAAAGTTCTAGACACTTGATCAACTGTTTGCTGCCTTACCTGTTAAATAAAAACATTTTGCATTACAACTTTGCAAGATATGACACACCTGACTTACAACCCTAAAAACCGGCTTTGCATCATATCACCATCTTTCGAAGGAAAACAATACCTATCATTTGTGTGTACAATTGCTAGCTGCAGTGAGCACAGACCCTGGGAAGCCATACTGGTTCTATTCAGGGGAATGGAACATAGGCTCTCAACCCTTCAAGGCACGCAGCACAGACAAGTTATAATACGGCCCAACATTTACCGAGAGAGGGCACTGGTCTGTTGACCAGGGAGTATTATATAAGCCAGAATGCATGACGCACTGGAAGGGGTTCAAACTCTCGTCACCAGATAATGGAACAGTTCAGCTTGTGAACGGCAAGAAAATCAGTCTTCCTCAAATCCTGCCATGGGGGTATATGCTGTGTGAACTTGGACAAGTCACTTTACCCTATAAATTGGCACCCGTTGGGACAGAGAGAGAGAGAGCGTTATTTGCAGTTAATTTGCGAGTGTCTGAAATGGTTGCACCTGTGGTTGTATACTCCGCAGGGAGTTGAGGTGGTTTATAGGACTGTTTGTGGGCCCAGTAAGCAGGGACAATATGACGTGAAATGCATCAACACTCAGCCAGGTACTAGAATAGACCATATACATGCATTATGTACTTAGCATGTACCTTTCTGCATATGATTTTGGCATCTTCACTGAATTTGGACGAGTAATTCTCCTCATCTTCTCTGACCCTCCGGTCCACCTCTTCCCTCTTCACCTTCTCTTTCCTGGCTCGGAATGGGGCCTACCAAAACAAAAAAATAGAACGTCTATAAATTAAATCATTAAGGAGAGATGCTTCCCACCCAGGGGTAATTCACGGAGAAAGTGATACTGCAGTAAAGCATATGCTTTCAAAGATCCACAAACGCCTGGAAATGCCTAAATTAACTGTTTCAGACAGTTTACTTTGTGTATTTCAAAGATCTGGGAACTGACACCAACCCAATGTCTAACAATTAGACAAAACATGGAAAACTGAGTAAGTTTCATCAGTTTTTCACAAAGCCATTTTGAAGCTTGAGTATACAATTTTCCAACGGTGAATACAACCCATCAAGCTACGAACTCCAATAGGCTATCATCTGCACGTTTCATTTCCACCATGAATGCCAGACCAGTATCACGCAGAAGTGTTGTCCTCAGTTCTAACCGAGTTACCTACCAGCCATGGGCACCATGTGGCTGGGTCGGCAGACGTCTATGTAGCTGTAGCATGGCAGGTAAGTTCCCAGTTTCACCAACCCGACCCCCAATTATATTGTCATTATCACTGACAATCTAACAGCTTGTATGTTGTTCATATTGAGAGTGGTCAGGCTGTGGGCCAAAAAACTCCTCTGAACTCAAACTTCACTAAATGGGAAAAAATTCACTTTTTGGCCTGTATCAGAAACAAAGCTGGTATTTGTGTATTAGATGTACGTGAATACTAGACTGATTATATGCAGTCATTTGCAAGTCTAGGACCACCCATACATAAATTAATCAATCATGGCAACTGTTGTTTATTTTCAATGTGAAACCTTGGTATCTTGTTTAGACAACTCTTGGTATTTGACTACATTTCCATGATTTGAAATGGTAACAGTCTAATATTTAGTGTGCCTGCCTTTATTTCTGAGTACTTAGACTGGCTTTTTTTTAACCCATGCTGCCTTACAGACGTCATACAAGACCTGCCTTTGCAAAAAATTTCATTCAAATGGGTATAAAGCACTACACTGATGTTATGCACTACTGTAAAAACACGTTACATGATCATTCAATGAGACAATGTACATGTAATGTAATTTTTGAAAATGACTCTACGCGGAAAAGCTTTTTTATTTATAAAAAATAAACAGAAAGCAAAAATTTGGGGAGTTAAATTTCTCAATTTTTCTTGCTGGAACCTTTGTTAACCACTTGCTGCCGGGGAACCCGGTTTTGAGCACCATGGGTTTATACACAGAGACGGGGTGCCCAAAATGGGACAAAAGAGCTGGTCCGTGTAACAAAAGATCGTACTCGGAACAAAAGACCTGCTGCTGGGAATTGCCATCATTTTTTGGCATGCATTTTTTAAGATAATCTGTCACTGTTCTTAAACAGTATACCAATGTTTTGAGCATAGCGCACCCGCGGATTAACACCGCAGACAAAAGTGCTCCAGAGTCCCATTGATGAGCGACACAGCCCCGCTGCATTCTAATCCAGCCGCATTTAAAAAGACGACACTCGCATTTACTAGGGACAAAGGATATTACGCAACACCTCGCAATTCTGGGCTCTCTCTATAGGGTGGCAGGCCTGGCTGAAATACTCAGGAGTCAATTAATTTTTGCCTGTCAGCTTAGAGTAGCCAACTAACATTCATTCGTGTGGGTGTAAATGTCTATTAAATGAGATGAATTTTTGAAGAATTTTGAAAACTTAAATCTTGAAAATCTCCCGTATGTGTGCACTGCATTTTTAAAAGCACCCAGCAGCAAGCGGTTAACCCTAAAAGAGCTTCCAACCCCTTCAACATTTTCCCCTAATACCACTGCAATACATTTCTTTCCGACGCCGAGCAAATAAAAATCTTCAGCAATGTCCTGTGATCATTTTGACACCAACCACGTGAAAACAAGCCACGTGAAAACCATTCTTAAAAAAACATGTATTTTTCCCACACATGTCAACCAAAATTTCAACTTTTCCCATTGACGTGCACAATGCACAAAGGCCGTTAAAACAAAGCGTTAGCTAGATTGCACTGGAACTTCACAGATGTAACCACAATGAGTGTCTTTCCATGCGTACCAAATGCCAAACAGATCAGATATGGGACAGCCTAGTTCTTGCCCCTCCCCCCACCCATGTGAGATTGAGATTGACAAAAAAAACCCCAGCTCTTTTACGGTTAAATCATTTCCCACAGCCAGAGGCAGTTGCTCATAGAGCCAACAAGCCATTAGTATGCCACATTATACTCTGTAAGCTCGTGCCTTATTGTAACCAATATCGTTAATGCTTTGTTGATCCCACAATCCTCCAGCCAGTGACAGCAAATATCCAATCAAAGGGAGATTAAATTTATTCCAAAAGCTGCATCATGCAATTTGATGAATCCATTATGGTTAGTAGGGCGTGGGTGTGAGTGTGGTGAAGGACTCGGGAGCTGGTAATAGTGACAAATCCATGTGTATGCAGCCTACATATAATTAACCATGCCAGCCAGAAGCTAAGCTAGTCATGCACTTTCAACCACATCCCATTCACAGGAACACCAAGGCTTTCAGACAGTATGCATCCATTTCATATGCACTGCCACTGAGCTTGATTGCCAAATCTCTGTGTAGGGAGGTGTGTTTTAGGGGTCGCCTGTTACTGTTTGGCACACTGCTCAACTTTTTGTAAATGTATGGCAAATGCCCACGAAGGCAGTACAGTGGGCATGTGAAATCTGCCTTCTTAGTGTAGACACCACAGAGTGTAATCTGGAAGGCCAAGTCCACAGTCACACCCACAATGGCGTTAGGGCGTCCGGAACTGGAAATTTGGCATGCAGAATTTAGAGATCAGACTTTGCAGATAGATAATTTCGACCTTGGAATGAGTAAAGTTGGACTTGAATTAACATTAGAACCTAACAGTCAATGTGACATAAGAATATTTGTATCATCTTTGGGACAGGTACTGTACATTCTGTCTCCTGTTTTCAATCAATCTGATTGTCTGTGTTGCCTTTCTGATTGTCCGTGTTGCCTTGGCAACCTAAAACTAATAATTCACATAGATTTCCTTGGTGGCCTACCACTACATCCACACTACCCAAGACATGTTAGCGCATCATAACCACATGTTTCCTAAAGTTCTTTAAAAATTCCTTTCTTCATTTACTGAGCACTTACAAACACGTGAAGGACTGTCTGGTGTCCACACTAGCCTGACAGACAAAATCTATTGATGCCTGAGTATTTCAGCCAGGCCTGCAGCCTTGTAAAAAGAGCCCAGATTGTGCAGTGTTATATAACTTTCTTTTGTTCACGAACCTGGCTCAGTGCGCTGCTGACCTCTTTTCAATAGGGGTCAGATTAGCGTGCAGCGGTGCTGTGTGGCTCATTGCAGCAGTAGTGGAGCGCTTTTGTCCCCGTCGGTAATCCACTCGCTCTAAATGCCCCAAACCATGGTATACTGTTTCAAAACAAGGCTGAATTATCTCCACTTTTGAGAGTGAAAAAATGTTGGTAATGCCCAGCAGCCTGGTCTTTTGCTCCGAGTACGGTCTTTTGTTACAGGGTCCTGTTCCCTTTGTCCGAGTTCGGAGACCCCGGCCATGCATATAAAGCATACGTGTCTGGATCCGGAATCCCCGGCAGGAAGTGGTTAATGTCCCCCCACCCCAGACAAGTTGCCGAATGTTTTTGCTGGCTTTGACTGATTTTAGAACTGATTTCAGAAACAGTACTTCCTTCTCTCTTTCGGGCTCCTCCGTTGGACGTGAGGATTCTTTTACAAATGGAAAAAGAATTCTATTTGCCCACCCAAGACCTCGATACGCCACTGAACCAAATCCAATATGGCCACCCTGCTGATCGCAACGAAATGCAAAAAGTGGCACTAAACAATCCCCCAGAGTGGCTTTCTTAGGGAGGGAAGACCCTTTCTACTCACCCTTCCTTCAATCATCTCATAGATGATGCAGCCAAGACCCCAGTAGTCTGGACTGAATGTGTACCTCTCATTCTTGACAACTTCAGGTGCTGATCAAAAGGGTGGGGAAAAAAGCAAATCAAGAAAGTATTAACAAGTGCATTAAAGACTCTACGGCAATTGTAAGCCGCTACCCAAAATCTAAACGTGGAATCTTGTTACTGTGTAATTTTAATGGGGTACAGTTGAGTAAAATGTACAGTAAAGGAGTCCCTCTGGGTCCCAATACTTCCTATAGCACATGTAGCAAGGCCATGTGTTCTAAAGCATTTGTTCTAAAGCACATGTGTGTGTACAAGTACATCATTTCTAGGGGAAAAAAGTGAGGGCCGAAAAAAAAAAGTGTAACCGCACCACTTCTGGAACCAGCCCCTAAACAGAAACCGGATCAATTTTGTTTTGGCCTCACAGGATAAACAACCATAAATTCAACTCAGCACATCCATTTCCTGGAGCTCTACAATGCAACCCAATTTCTTGGCCAACCATAAAAAAAAGTTTGTCATGAGATCTTCCCCAGAAATGCCAGGAACACTTTCCTGTGAATCTCACTGTTGCAATTTTACTTACCCATGTAGCCAACCGTTCCTACCCTTCCTCGAATGGATTCACCCTCTGGAATTTCAACAGCCAATCCCAAGTCAGAAATCCTTACATGACCTGCACAAAGAAAGCCCCAAAAGTGTGTATTTTATGGCCTTTGAGGCCAGGAAAGTAAAAATTACATTTATCGAATATGACAATACACACAAATGATCATGGCATTCTGTCTGATGCTAATTGCAGTCCATTTTAAACGGGTACATCTCGGTACATGTAAGGGGCATAAATACTGACCTGCAGAACCCTGTGTACAAGTATCATCTACTGAGTTGTAGCACTTTCTTTAAGATCTCAACTTGCTGTACATTTAAAGGTATTTTCTAATAATTAAGCATTCCTGACACTTTCTGAAGGCTGAGGGATGCAGGTGAGACTTTCTTCTCCCAAGGTGAAAAAAAACAATTGAGGCAATGTATCTATCTCAAGAAGGCGAGCATAACCATTCCCTAGGCAAGATTTGCATGACTCTCCCTTCCCTTCCAAGCAAAAACCACTGAAGGACTTGGGTTTAGGATAGCAGGTATCTGTACCATGGTCATCTAGTAGGATATTCTCTGGCTTCATGTCCCTGTAGACAAAGCGGTGCTGGTGAAGGTGTTCCAGTCCGCAGGTGATCTCGGCAGCGTAAAAGCGGGCTCGGTCCTCCTCAAACCCTGGTGCGCCAAGGTTGTGGATGTGGAATTTCAGGTCACCACCATTCATTATGGTCAACACTAAGCACAGAGCATCCCTTGTTTCATAAGCGTAGGCCAGGCTGACCTGTCCAGCAGAATGCAGTAGACAGACATTAGTATCACTTGCAAAATACATGTACATGTACCAGTATGTGCTTGCGTACCCATACATGCACATGCTTCAATCATGGGTGCACTTTCAGTTAAAGACACTGTCATAATTAATAACAATAAAGTAAGATACAGGTTGGCAAGGTAGTTCTTTCCTCGCCTTCCACCTCTGTGGTCACGGGTTCGAATCCCGGCCCAGTCCACATGTGGATTGGGTTTTCAGTCCCTACCTGACTCCGTGGGTTCTACCCAGAATATTCCTCTGGGGTTTTCCTCCCACCTCTAAAACTGTAACTGCTTCTTATTGTCTCCCCTTTACTGATGTTGGTGAATGTGGGTCTTTGGCGGCTGCCCGAGGCACCCTTATATGCCATCGGCTCAACCATGTTTAAATGTATTCATTGTTCCACGCTTAGTGTCTTCATTGTACAGCGCATTTGAACATACATGTACATATATATATGAAATTTGCATTTTATGAATGACTAAATTATCATTATCAAACTTGGGTAATCCTTTGCAAGACTGACATTTAACAAAAATGTCCAGACTTTTCAATTGCAGCAACCCGTGACCTGGGTGATTATTTCACAAACAATTTCACCTGAATTTGTATGCTTCATGTACATGTATGGTGTACCCACTGGCCCAAGCCAGGCACACAAGGTAAGCAAACACCCAGGAATTAATCCAGACGGTACAATCCATGAAAGTTTCGCTCATTACACATCGACAAGTTGTCATTCTGTTCCTTGTCAGAAAAAAAAAACACCAAGGAATTCATGGCAAAGTATATGCTGGGATATACATGTACATGTACATGTAGCCAGTACATGTACATGTAACGGTACATGTACATGCATCAGTCTACGGTAGTTCAGGGAGCTACATGTTTATTAAAATACTACAGTGCTAACTCCTCATTCCCTGTGCAGGGAAACTTGGACCCTGTCCTGGACACAGACATTTGTACATGTACTTCATTTTTACATTTGTAGAATGTAGTGAAACTCAATGGAATGAATTCCAAATGATGCACTCTAACTGCAACAAGCGAGTACCAAGCAGACAAATAACATTTGTGCGTTTTTCTGTCGGTAGTAAGATAAATAAAACGCTGCTCAGCAAAATTCACCTGCAGTGCATATGCCCAAGCGCCCGTATCATTTTTACATCGGGCAAAGTGAAATGTTTATTGAAGTGTTTGACATACTGTATTGTATCGGCTTTGTTTTAAAATATTTTTTCAGAATACGGACGCAGATATGCAAATAGCGGTATGACAGCTTCAGAAAATGTTGAGCTTTGCAAAGGGTTGGGAACAAATATGGATACGTGTACCGGTGTGCCTAGCAGGCTTCCCTTTACAGTGAGTTAGCGTACTGGTAATTAACCTAATATGGCCCAAAGGTTCTTGCCTACATTTCATGTGAAAGTGAAAATTCTTAGAGTTACTGGATAGCAAACCACTTTTGTGACATCTAATAACCTTTGTATGCATTTCTTTCAAAATCCCTGCCAGCATAAGATTTCCCAATGAAATTTTATTTACCATCCAGCATTGTCCAGTTACCAAGATATCAGTGGCTTGGCCCATACATGTGAAGTCCAAACAGTGCCTTATTTATGCAACATCACACAAGTGGGTCGCAAGTGAAACCTACATGTACATGTAGGATGCTGCAACTGTACATTAATTTTAGGTCGTTTTGCGATTCAAAGGATATCGCATGGACGAGACAGAGGTGGTTCAAAATGTGCCTGGAAACATGGGCATGAAGGAAGACATCACTCCTGAAGTCAACATACTGGGTACCACGTACCATGCAGTACACTGATACAGGAAACTGCACACAAAACATGGATTCAGTCCCAATGATCGTACATGTGTAACTATTCTATCTTGTTACTGTTGTCTCTGATGAACATCTTGGTAACAGGCATAAACATTTTTTGTCACTGACATGAGATCAAACCCAAGGAAACACATGTACAGTACATGCGGGTCACAATCCACCGGAACTAATGGTGTGTCACTGGCCTTTACAGAAATCTGGCCACAATAGCTATCACCATTTTCAACCATACATGTATGATGTCGACATATCGCATAGGCGCGAAGTACATGTACATGTACTAGTAGGTTTCATACATCTAACAAAGGACAAAAACGATAAGAACTCAAGTTTACAAAAAGAGTGACATGTACATTAAAAGACAAAGTCAAAATCAAAGACAGGACAAAACGACGAGACAAATTGACAAAAAGATAAAGTTAACAATTAAACAATTAACCAAATCAGACAACAGCGAGGTAGATGATTTTTTTTTTACTGGTATCTAACTCCTGTTGAAAGTTGGGGGCGCTTCTTCAGAGGTCGACTTGGTAACGGACGTACAAACGCATAGACCACCTGATTGTATTCAAAACTCCATGTGCATTTTGTGATCTGCGTTGCCCTGACTAAAATCAAACTATGAGCAAATTTCCCCCTGCCCCAGATACAGGGTATTACCACATTGGTAATATTTTATTTTGCTTGGTTTAAATGATGCAAACATGTTTACACATGTGCACACTGCAGATAAATTTTACTGAGGATTTGTAATGAATCAAACCAATACTATTGACAGAAAGCACATGTCATTTGTCTGTTACACTTGCACATTGCATTTAGAGTACATCATTTGGAATTCAGACAATTTCTTGTTTCCTGTCACTGTGTCCTTGATTTTGACTTTGTCTTTTTGTAAATTTCGGTGAGAGCTTGTCGTTTTTCCCATTTGAGTTTGACTTTATGTTCTATAAATCTGTCCTATTACCATTTTGATTTTGTCCTTCCATTTACCCCCGGTACCTTTGTGTTCTCTGCTGTGCCATCCTTTGTTTTATGTTTGACTTTCCGTTTAAAAAAATGTGTTCTTTGGCAGTTTTGTCCTTGATGCATTTCTTAATGTATATCCGAAACAAAACAAACACCTCTGACTTACCACAAATCTACTGTTGACTTTCTGCAGCAACATCTTCTCATTCAGAGCCATCACCTCCCCTTTCCGTTTCTTGATTCTCTTCTTCTCCAACTTCTTGCAAGCGTACATCTTGCCTGTCGCCCGCACTTGGCACGCGCATACCTGCCAGGTCAAACGTCAAAAGGATAATGAACTTTCAGGGGTCGAGGGGCAGGAAGCCTTTGTTTTAGTGCAGGCAGTGGAGAGCAAACATGAAGGTACATTTAGATTGCATTAAGTGACCGATTTACCAATTTCACTTATTCCACCCTTTAAAAGAAATTCGCTTTTGGTGGGATTTCACAACTTGAATGTACATGTACACACCACAAGTAAATACGTTATATACATGCATGCATTTCCCTATCTCTCTTCAAACAAGTTACATTAATTCTGCATACATGTATGTGCAGGTACTATATTGACAGAAATAATCACTGTGTAAAATGGAACTTCAGGGGTAAAACCAACTCTGTCAAGTCCTCAATGGATAACAAGGAATGGTGTTGTAAGGAAGAGGTACACATGTACATGTGCACTGTACATGCTAGATGTTTCGTCAAATACATTTTTATCGGTTTAGTTCTGCTAACTTTGTGCAGTAAGTGTACATGGAAAGAGACAAGTATGAACGTTAAATTTTGTTTTAATTCAAAAGCCCCTGATGAAGGCTAAAACTTACTCCAACTGCTACAAGAGAAAAGCTCAAGAAACACATAGGTATGCAATTCACAATCTGCTGAAAGTTCAAATCTAAAACAATCAGCAGTCATATTTTTAGGTTTGCAAAGGTAAATGTTTTAAGAGTCTAACTTTATCTCGTCAATCTCTTCCCTACGTGAAACATTCTACTCAGTTTATATTTTGCATATATGGAGCTCTTGAAAATAAATTGAAACACATAGATCAATCCATCAGGCATGACTGTATAAATAAATGGACGTGTTCATAAAAAAAATTGAAACACTAACATGAGGATGAGAGAGAGTGAGAGAGAGAATGTTAGCCAACAATCAAATGTCAAAGTCCACCAGCCCGAGTGGAGATAATGGGTAAACATGTTGATGAGGAGACTGCTAGAGTCTGCAGTGTCACTGAGCCTTGAAATATGCACCCAGTCCCCTGGCGATGGCCCTCTCCCTCCAACAACCTTTTCCCTCTTCGTATCTATCTCTCTCTCTTTCTCCTCCCGCCAAACCGTCAAATGCCAAGCTGTCGGGCCATGGGATAAAACATTGCCACTCTGCCGTCAGCGAAATGGATTCCGCGCATCAACTAAAATGTGCCATCAGTCACAAGGGGTCACGGTAAACAAGCGGCACGGCGAATACTACCCCTCACCCAGTCTGTGATTACTGGCAGGATTTTTTTGTTCTTTCCTAGAGTGTATGTGCGTTAGACTTGTGTCTTAAATCTGGGCACTCTTTAAACAAAGGGATATTACAACTGGTCTTGTCGAGCTACAGGGAGTGTGACATGCCAGACTTGTTACTGAAGAAGCAGACCCAACAAAGCTTTGAAACTGCACCCAACATGACCTGATGGCAAAATTCACAAGCAGGGGCCGACAATTCAGTTCTTAAGGTTCATCTCTAACAAGCTGGGTGAATATGTGTACACATACATGTACATTTGAATATCATGGCCAAGTGATAAGCATCCTTGCACATGATGCTGATGTGGCGATCTCCTCCCCTAAAAAAGACTTTTGAATTGAGAAAGGCTGAAATTCATCTTGACACAAACACTCTGAGGTTGATGGTATGGTGTCTGCATGTACCGGTGCATACATGTACATGTACTTACACTGTATACGCATGTAAAGGCTTTGACTCCACAGTGAGCTGAGGTGATTTCCAAGCAGAAACAAAACGGTTCATATGCATGTTCAGCTGTACATGTTTTTTTTTTTCCATTAGGAGGATGAAGTGATAATAATAGAATGAGAAGTGCAGGTGTATTTGGGTCCTGTTGCTGACAGACGCATGCACTTTTACAGTGGGAAGTGCTGTGTTATTAATTTCCAGGGATTGAAACCTCAATTCTGGGAAACCACTCACCTCGCCAAATCCTCCCTTGCCCAGTACTCTGTATTGCCGGAAAGTGTTCTTGGTCACAGCTTGGCTGCAGATTAAGAGGAAGAGTCAAACAACAGATATGGAAATTAGTACCATTTTGCACTTGAGCCACATCTAGGCCCCAGTGATACATCATTCTTTGACAGTAGAATAAGGCAGGACAAATCCAATCTAGGTGCCCTTGATGATTACTCATCCCTCCCCCAGCTCAGTCAACTGTGCTATATCATATCAACTGAGCATGTCCTTGTCCATGTACATGTGTGTTATTTGGGCTCAGTGATTCTATATAATAATAATACTTTAGTCATTTATAAAGCGCAAATTTCATATCCATGTAGATATGTTCAAATGCGCTGTAAAATGAAGATATTAGGCATGGAAAATGAATACATTTAAACATGGTTGAGCCTCGGGTAGCCGCCAGGCTTTCCACACTGTGCTACATTAATGTGGCTAGGCTATATGCAACCGCATGCATGCAGTGTACGTGTACATGTACATGGCTGCAGCAAGGAAATGAAGTACATGGACAGTACAATGTTCAGTGCACATAACATGTACATGGACAGTACAATGTTCAGTGCACATAACATGTACATGTACAGTACAATGTTCAGTGCACATAACATGTACATGTACAGTACAATGTTCAGTGCACATAACATGTACATGTACCAGTATTCTGCTGCAGGAACGCAACTGCAACCCTGACCTAGAGCGGGTCTTGGGTTTTTGCATGCACTTTATTATATGTATACAAACACTTTCAGCAGGTTTCCATATTGTGCCATCTGCTGGAGAATTCCAAGTGCCTCTTCTTTGTTTTCCTGGCACAAGTGTTCAGCTCTGTGTTTTAGGGGAGGCTGTCTGTTTTCAAGCGAAAACCTGTACTGTACATGTAGACCAGCCTAGGGTCATCCCCAGCTGCTACCCAGGCCTGCCAGAGCACTCTTAAGATGATTCTGCCCACTGAGCACTCCCACTCGAGCACCCAGTGTGAAACACCCAAGGGAGACTGGGACGTACAATGTACATGTACATATTCAACGGAGACTGTTGCCCCTTCTGAACAAGTACAGCCAATGATTTTCCGTGATCATGGAAAATGGACGGCATTCACGGAATCAACACTTTGAAACTGAATCCATTGCTTGAAGCGGAACCCACAAAATTTGCCACTAAGAATGGCTTGAAAAGTAAAGAAAACTTCCTATAAAGAACTCTAAGTAAATGCCCACCAAACACTTTTAAAATACTTGCTTTTAATGAGCCAATTATGCTGAAAACATGCTGAAAACATGCTAAACTGCACCACTCCACCTTATGATTGGGTCGTCTGCGCCAGTACCGATAAGCAACGCTAGCGGCATGGTACGGTACACACTTGACCATCCACATGTGCACTGTACATCCAGGGTACAAGCAATGAAATCAAGGGGCAAACAAGTTCATACTCACACGCATGCTTATTGCACAAGTAGGGAATTTAGTCTATGAATCCGCATAGACACCTTGAGATGAGACTAGCACTGCACAGTGAAACCATCAAACCGCAGCAGCAAAACGTAAGACTAATTACATATTTCTTGAATTAAACGAAATCTAGTAAACTTGGTGTACCACAGCTGAACCTCGTAAGTGTTCGATGAAGAGCAAAGTTTTCAGTCACAAACATACATTTTAAGGCTCAGATTTAATGTTAACTTTCTGAATTTTGTTGCACAAAATAAAATGGCGGGTTGAGGTCCAACAGTAACAAATTGTGATCAACGACTTTTACATGCAAGACCTACTCTGTGACTTCACTGTACATTTATTTAAATATAATCTGATTTTATACATGAGGAGTGACACATGAACTGTCCATTGATTAATCGTAGTAGGTTTTTGATGATCATGCTAGTGGAAAATCAAGGGGTGGGGGATTCTGTATTTATTGTGTTTTTTTTTTTAATTTTCACTACAGATAAGTATTTAAAAAGCTGGAAACATTGCAGAATATTTTCAAACAATGTTTGTTTCTCTTTTCTTTCTTTTTTTTGGGGGGGTTACGGTTGGGCAAACGGTTTGCATGCACAATTCATAACTGGAATTCAGTGGAAGAGGAATTCAGGATTTGGCAAAATGGAAAATACCCATTTTTTAAACCGAAAATCAGTGGCTCTAAATTACAAGGCATCGGTGAAACCTCATTCACACATTAATTACATGTAAGGACCAAGCAGCACACAGCACACTCTTTTTTGAGAGATCTTATTGATAATTTGCCCTGTCCTTCTATTAGTGAAACTCGGCCCTTGTTTATACGTCAGTGCCTTGAGATAATTTGCATTTTCAGTCTCACAGGATTATGACAGCATTTGGAATACCCTGAATCGTTGTTTCCTTTTATTGTGAATTTACTATCTAGATTGTGTGCAATAAGAACGCTGACTGTGCATAAGAATCTTGAGTGGAGTCAGCAGCTTTGTTTCAAAAGGAGTTCACCAAAAGATTGATTTCTTAATTTTGGATGTTTGCCCTGCCCAACGTGTAACAGTGACATACCCCCTGAAGGCTTGTGAAAAAACCACAAGTGTACTTGGGTGGGACTCAAACCCACGACATCCTGCTTACTAGTGCAGACGTCTTAACCGCTCGACCCCTGAGCTTGTCAGTGTCTGCTGGCTGGTTCGAATCAGACGCAGCGGCGGGTACTGCCAACAACTACATGTATTTCAAAGATGGATTTGTGCCTGGTAAATCCATCCTTGAAATAGATTGGTTTGTGCTACATGTAAGTGGAAAGTAAACGGTGGGTGTTACAACTGTACAGGCACTAGTACATGTATACAGTAACACCATTTGCTACGGCGTGAAAACAAGATGTTTCGTTCAAGAAACTTAATATCGCCACGGCAAATTTATTCTATTTATGTACATGCAACGGTATGTGTTGTCAGCTTCTGCCAATGTGTACATGTATTCAAAGGAAGAATTATCGGGTACCAGGGAGGGGGAGGAATGGTTTGAATACATGTGCAGTCCCACACTACATGTACTTCTGGAATACCACACACACGCACACTGCTCGTACAGTATATACATGTAGGGGAGAAAAACTGCCGAACCCAGAAACACCCTCCTGACGAAGAAGAGAATCAACGTGTATGGCCCTGGTCAGTAATCAATACCAGGCCCCAGCGGTATTGAGAGGTGAGTGCTTTACATACTAGTAGCCCATGCCACTAATGCAACTTATGCACAACACAAGTAATATAAGACAATGCACAGCACATATAAAAGATGATTGCTGATGCAGAAAACGAATCCCCTTATCAAAACATTTCATCTGGATCTTGTTCTTAGTACTGTAGCGGAACCCTCCCTCCCTCATGTTTCATCATTTCTGCTCCACCCCTCTCCTTCCAATACTTGCCTATTAGGTAATTATTATAATACAAATGGGCGATGCTGGCTCTAGTGCATTAATGGATGACCAATGAAGATCACAAAATGAAATGGCTTTGAATCCTCGGTGTGCACTGGATTACAAGGCAAAAGTCCCTTCACCGTGTGTGCCATGCTGTTAATTTGCACCGCTGCTCAGTTTGTTTGCTTATTCATATACCCGTACACTATATGAATTTACAGAGTCAAACAGAGACAGGGAATTCGGAACTACTGTACATAAATATTTTCCATAGCAAACTACATGTAATCAGGATATACTGCAGCCTGTTTTTTGATGGTAATTCAAGAGAGAAAAAGTAGAACACAAAATATTGGATATGTTTAGAGGTAGGCCTAATCAATACAAACAGCAATTTTTGTAGAAATTATGGGACTGTTCCAAAACTGTTTTATGTCAAAGTTATTAACAATGAAGTACATGTACATGTATGAGATGGCTAGTGCCGATGATGACACGGGTCATTAGTGATGTAAATGAATTTCAAAACACTGCAAATTATGCAAGGAAAGGAATTTTCCCCCCCTTTTTTTAATAAACAGGCACGTCTCTGCACAAAGGCCAAATACAGGGCATCATAGAACTGAACCGCATGACACATTAAGCAGCGCACGCTCCCAACATCACTCAGACTTGTACATCTTCTCACTCCAAAACAGCAACAGAGACGCACGGGCCAGCAAAAACGTCACAGCTGCTCGAAGAAAAAAAAATGGAAAGTACACGTTGTCCTGGGTCTATGCCCAAGCCGATGACGTGCTGCCCTTTAGATGGCAGATAAACATAAACAGAGGCATTATCAGCGCTTCAGCAGCCTAAATAATTGAAATTTTAATGGCCGGCTAGCAGCCACACTTGAGTAACTGCTGACAAAGCACAGACCAGCTCAGGTAAAAATGCACTGATTTACCTAACAGGCATACGGATAAGAACATCCTCTTCAGATGGAATCTTTTATTCTATGCACTTGTGCAATTACATTATATTATTTATCTTCAGATACTTTTAAAAAAATTCTCAATGTGACAGTAGTTATAGGAGAAACTCTTTTACAAAATATATATACAAGTGAAAACCTTACTGAAAGAAAGGCCCAATTGGCCAGTTTTTGAATGAAGTATTCAGTTTTTAGTTTTCCTCTTTCGTATTCCTCTCAGTCTTGCTCAAAAAGGAAGTATCATCCATTAGCTGGAATATCAGAATAGACCCATTTGATCTGCATTCCCGCCTTTAATAATGGCTGTCCTGAACGTACCACCTCCATTTTCCTCAACAACGGACATCACATCAAAACAAAAGAGACAAAAGTGTGCAGGAACAAAAATCTGGTTACCAGGAAAACGGGCACTTCCTCATCCTGTTAAGCTCTTGTTACAGAATGACTGGATGACTGCCAACACAAGGAACTGTGGGGTCACAAACACATGAACTTGTCGCTCCAAAAATCTGCGCATTTCCAAACTTCAAAAGTGAATGTTCCAAAAGTATAAAAGCATGTTACTCAAAAACTCTGTTCAAAAAGGGCGTTCACGATTTCACTCAAAAACAAAAACGTTGTAGGTTGCTTAATGCTACAAAAGTTTAATACGTAGCAAGTTCAGCACCACAAAGGAAATTTCTGTGCTGTTCGTACAAAACAAAACATGCGTAGTCCCTGAAAGTTACTTGTATTTTAGATTTGTTTTACTTGTGATGTATATTCCAATTGATAACGACAGAACCCAAGCAAGGACAAACCAACCAGGGAGAAATGATACCAGGAGAACTGAAAGCAACTTTCATTCAAAGTCCACTCTGCAGAACCTTTTCTCCTTTTATCAGTTGTTGACATTTTTGTCCTACTTTCCCACGTTTGTTTATGGTGCATTTTCCTATCAATGTAAATGTTTACAAAATGGGTTATTAAACAGCATCCCCTCTCCGACTGTGTCATGTTAACATGCAGCGTGTGCATTTCAGAAGTGCAAATATTGACGCAAATGGCCTGGTGCAGGCATTACTGGAGGTGGACCAAAACATGTCACTTTAAACATTTCTGCAGGGTCTTTTTCAAGAGTGGGGGACCATGGAGCAGTCATAGGGTTCCTCACCTGAAAAGGTAATGAATACATTTAGCAGGTACCGGTAACTGGATGCAGTTTGGCTTGAGCTACTTTTTAAAAATAATTTTGCATCATGGGGGTTACACTTGCAGCTGCCCAGTGACAGTTGCACGATAGAATCTCATCAAACACTTGGCAGAGTTACGTGTAGTTGCCTTTTCCATCATACTCTGGCTGTCTAATCTTATCAGATTTGAATCTTGGAAATATTCCTTCCCCTCCCTCCCCCCCCCATCTCATTCAAAAGAGGATGAAATCAATATGAAATTGAGAATTTGGTGGGCCTTTGGAGAGTAAAACGAAACAGGTTCTCCAATCTGCCAGGAGTTGAAAAACAGCATGTTCAGGTTGCTAAAGTTTTCAGCTTTTAAGCACACCTTTTCTTTCAATAATGAAATGGGCCGTCAACATGACCAATGCACTGGGTTCAAAGATGTCATACTCCCCTTTAGCAAGAGACCTTGTTTAATAGAATGCATATTAGTGCATGTACCAGTACATCTAGACTCAAAATAAGAGGCTGTCAATGGATATCTGTTTTGAAGAACGGTTCATCTAAGGAGATGCTTTTAGGAGATGTCTCTAAGGCCTTCTTCTCTGTCATTTCATGCTTCATTATATTGACAACTGTTTCCACCTGCAAACTTGTAAAAAGGGGTGGGGAAGCAAAATGTGTGAAATTATGGCCTTTGTCGACAAGCACAGATGTGCTACAGGTGAACACAAGTACGGAAGATTCTGAAGTCAAAGGTACATGTACATATACATGTAGGTGTCAAAATTTATTAGTACATGTACATGTAAGTACCCTTTCTCCCCCTTTTTTGCTTTTTCAAGGGGGGGCGGGGGACTAATGACCCAATACAGCTAATGCTGATGTACTCACAGTGCATTGCAAGAGTGAAAAATACACATTTTATGACTTTTGTTCTCGATAAAAGTCTGCGTTAAGGCAAGAGTACAAAGAATAAAGTACATGTATCTAGCGAGACACTGCAGCAAGTGAACTGCATTTGGTCATTCCGGGAACTCTGTAATGTTGATGACGATTACCTTTGTCCAGAAAAACTGTCATGGCAACATACATGTACATGTAACATCTCAGTGTTGGGACATCACTCTTGATGTGTTGAAAATGTTTTTGTTGGGAACTCATTATCGTCTCTTGTCTGCATATACCAAAAAATTCTGTTCAACTACCGGAACATCTATGAGGCATGACAACCTCCTACCAACCTGCATCATCAGATAGTGCAGTGCCTGTCATCTTACACAGCATCAGAAAAACAAGAACTCATGGCTGTATCACTTTTTTCTTATAGTGGTTACGGCATCTGTGTCACGACTCATGTCAGTCTGTTTTATTCCCATTGGAAGCCCAAGAACAAACAAAAACAAAGCAACCCTCCAATCCAAAATGGAAACAGCACTGGTGTAAACATCCAGGTTGTGACATCAGAGGCAAGTAAAGCACTACTGCCAGACAGCATTTCAGAATATAGAGAAATACTCCGTGCAATGACGTCATAAACACTGTAATGACGTCATCATCTAAGAATGTTGAAAGACCAAGGTTAGATGTTTATATCTATTTTGTGGCATATACAAAATGTTATGTTTGTAAATAAACAAAGGAGCAATCAGGCACACTTCGAAAGTGGCCGGTAGTACATGTAGGAAACCAGTACTTCCTAATATTTTATCTCTCTTATTGAACTCTGTAACAGAGGAAGCTCAGTCACATTTACGACACCATTAAAGTGTCAGACCAAACTCCATAAAACCTTCAAGTTGGTTTCAGAATTCAGGCTATAGAAGAATTCAGACAGATATCGAAGGGTCATTTCACAGAGGCTTGCTTGAACTTTACATTTCAATTTGTTCATAACTCTGTCACCAATTTTCATAACGTAGAAATCACCTAATATCAATGTACATGTACAACTCCAGTTCTCAACCTGCAGCTGCATGTATTTTTCTTTTTCAAAGCTTTGTGCACAAAGTGCAACCAAACCTTACGCATCACAACACAGTATGCTTGGATTTCATGTTACTAACATGTACTGGTATATATGTACATGTATAAATACCTGCACACGTAAGCACATGCATTAATAAAATCTTTTAAAAAGGCCCAATACATGTAAATGTAAGACGCATATCAGCAATCTCAGGTCAAGGTGAAAAATTTCCATCTCATACCAGCTTCGTTATGATTCATAATTTGCAACCAAAAAGAACTTGTTCAAAAATGGTAGCAAAAATAAAAGGTATATACATCTCTTTATTACACCCACTGTACTTTTAAAATGATTTTTTTGTTTTCAAATTACACACTGGAGCAATGAGCTCAGTAACGGAACGACAAATTTCCCCTTTTGCAAGGGACTGCCTTCTTGTACATATCCAGCTTTGTATAATAAGATCCCTGCACAGAAATATTCTCATTGCACAGGTGAAATAAATTCTCAAGACGGGACAAACGACTTCCCTCTTCCATGCCTATCAGACAAAAAATGTATGCATGACAGGTGGGGGGAAATCTCATTCTGACCAGATGGCCCCCCTTACTCTCCCAAAAGGAAGAAAATACTCATGCACCGCATAGAAAAGAACATTGTCAAAACCTGCACAAGCAATGTTCCACCAGCCAAAAAGAATGTACGGTGAAAGCAACATCCAACCCTGCAATAACATACCTGCCAACCAGTCATACTCCTTCCTGAGGTCAGGCATCACCACGTAATAGATTAGAATTTTAAGTGAACTGAGGGCTCATTTAAATACCTTTTAATCTGCCGGTATTGTGTGGTAATACCTGACCTTAGGAAGGAATACGACTGGTTGGCAGGTCTGCAATAATACTCCCCGGCTGTTGAAAAAGTACATGTGGGCATGTCCCAGCACTGGTATATCTTACCTTTCTAACCATTTCCACTGTAATAATCTGTCAAAGAACAGACTGTTTTGGAATTCTGTGAAGGGTTCTCCCTTAAGGTATTCTCTCACCACTCTACAGAGGAAGAAAACACAAATATGCAGTAAGTGCTGTATAAGTCCCCTCCGTGAAGATGCTATCTGAATATGCATCTACATGAAATACCAGTAAATAAATGGATATATTCTCCAGCCAGACTGAAACCAACGTAGGGGGTACAGATACTGTATTTGGATGCTCTCTTTTTCCCAAAATAAATTCCATTTTCGCATTACAGCTGTGGACAAGATTAATCTACATTCACAATAAGTGAAAATACCGGTAAGTGTCAAGATTCTGCATCAAATTACAGACTTCCAGGAATGATACCTGGGAAAGTGGAATGATTAAGTTAAAAGTTTCAGATTTACCAAATACATATGTAAGCCGAGATTACTCCTTCCGATCAAAGTACATGTAGTATTATAAATGTACAACTGATGTATCTCTTTCCCCCAGAAGGGAGACGTGCGAAGCCCTAATACAAACTGAGGTACAAAGGGTTCATGTCTCACCTTTTCTTTTCTATATATCATGAGACACAAAAAATGACATACATGTGCACTACATGTAATTGTGCAAGTACAATACACAGAAGTACAGTGTACCGGTATATTATAAACAAAATAAGACTTTCGAGGGGGGGCCCAAGTAAAGTAGAAGCTTAAAAGCCTCAGGTCGCTCTATATGATGAGGGAACAATAATGAGTAAGCATTTCCATTTCATTTCAATTCTATAGAGGGGTTGAGTGCAGCAACGCACACCAGGGAACTTACGTCCTGCAATCGGTGAAGACTTCTTTGCTGGGAGAGTTCTGGAGAGCCTCCTGACATGATGTCACCTGTTCTTGGGTGACTTGGGAGAGCCTCTCGGGTGACTGAAAGGAGAAACAAAGTAGATGCAGATGTGCAAATGGAGGGAATTTCACATCACTGTCAAACTTGATTTGTACAGTGAAATCTCCATAGTATAGGCTTATCAGAGGAAACACATTGGCTGAGTTGGCACTTCACACAAGCGCACATCCTTCATCTGTGTGCATTTGATACATGTATGTATACGTAAATTACAGTGCCCTACTGGGTGAAGAAGAACCGGTATTTAACGAGAGCATACCTTCTGCTTTCAGAATACAGTACACTGCAACTGAAAGTTAGCCATGACAAATGAGAAATCCAAATGTGTACAAAGAAGTCATGTTCACATGGCGTGAACAGATTTCGTGCAGGCGTGGCATACATGTACATAGTGTGGACCTCTGCACAAAAGAAATTTACATAATGTAGGGTGCGATGGCACTGTGTGGACTCGCACACGTCCACACAATGTTTTCCCCTCTCTGAAAAAAAGTTTCAGAGGCATTTTGGGGTAAAAGGTCTGTGTGGCAAAATGAAGAGGAACAGTCCAGGAAATCATCATCAAAAATCCAGCTCAAAGGAGTTATCCTAGTTGGAGAAAAAGGAGCATTTTCCTCAAGTTTCCTTAACCACAAGAGAACAAAGGAATGTCCACACTTTGTATGTAAAACAGGTACGGTTGTGTGTGAAATGGCATGGAAATGTTTTCCCACTTGTGTGCAAAGGTGTGAAAATGTTTTTGCACGTGTGTAAAAAGGTGTGAAAATGTTTTCCAACTTGTGTGCAAAGGTGTGAAGAAATTTTCACACTTCTTTAAATAGGCGGGAACATATTTTCCCCCTTGTGTGAAAAGGTGTTTTCACATTTTGCAGAATTAACATTGAAGTCCCAATGCCTATTTTAAGTTATGAAGATTTCAAGTATAGAAATGACACCAATATCTAGTTCCCTTCACCTCTGGCAGAATTTGTTGTCAAACTTTTTCCCCTCAGCAGTCTGATAAACCTGTCCAGGCAAACACAGTGACAAGATTCAGACACTCAGGCTCTACTGTGCTCTGACGTGCGTTTCTTCAGCTGGAAATCCTGGTGTTGAACCGCTCTACTGGCATATGGATGTACAAAAACAACATAAATGTCTGCCTGGCAACATGAAGGGAGGGAGGAGCTTGCAGGGACAAGCACAAGACGTCGACCAAGCGTAACAAGGGAAGCTACAGCTCTAGTCTTGCGACAAACAAGATGACGGCCCTCTTCCCCGGGCACCGCACTTTTCCGAGCTTTTCAAAAAAGTTCTCGGGGACTTGCAAATCTGTAACAAACTTCGGTGAATGGTTCACAGAAAGCGTGTCGGCACATTCTGGCAATACATGATCAAAGCAGCAGGTGATGGATTAGACTGTCTGTCTGTCAAGTCTGTGGAAGTGATCAGGTGTCGAACTTGACCTTGGCCACTATGCATGGCCTGCACTGTACATGTAGTGAATGTCATTCCTTGGTACCACAGATACCTGTACATGTAGGTCTCGGAATGTTGCATAAAAAGGGAAAAAATGCCCTACTCTGTATTTGTGGTGTCCCAACTCAGGGGCCATAAATTGGGACATAAAGCCCACTGGTTAGGGTTTGTCTCATATCTTCTGATCATAGGGTCAGAGGTTCGAATCCAAGCAAGTAGTTGCATGTTGTGACATTGGGCTTGTCACCTGCCCATAAGCGCCTCTCTCTACCCAAAAGTGTTATGGGCAGATGTGAATACTTTGTTTGGCAATTTGTGCCAGAAATGGCAGCATTGAGCTAGTATAAGTATACTCCCCAGGGAGCCAAGACAGACTCAGGAAAGTTCAGATGTTATGAGCCCAAAGAGTAAGGATGTACCACGCCTGCGGCTATGTCCAGACACCGTGTTAGTTAAAACGGTAAAAGTTAAAACGGTCACTCGCCACAGGGGGTCGATTGTAAAATTAAAACTCACCGAGCGTCCATACACTGTTTGAATACAGCAGTTTTAACCCAAAGCGGTTTATCTCCTTTTCTTGGGGTCATGAAGAACTTCCTCTCATTTACATGTGCAAGCATGTGCAAGTTTGTTTTCATGCACTCTTTATGCATGTGGCCAGGCTCTCTGTGCTTAAAGCAGGTTAGGACTGGTTGCTGTTATACTGGTACTTACTGCATAACATGTAAAATGCGCTGTTTGTCAGCCAGGTACCATGCAACAAAACATTTGTGTTGCCATGTCGACATGGCGCTCCCTCGGGAGACTCTTGTTTGTATTATCATCGCGATGCAATAAATGATCATTTCTTAGGAAATTGCTCCTCAGTCTACAGCCAAACGGACATCAACAGTATTGGGCATCCTTAGAAGGTAAATACATCGAAGACATGTCACCTTTTCCTGAGTACGGCGGCAGTTCTGGCAATATGTCACGAAGAGGCAAGCGAGATGGGCCAGAGGAAGCATGTTACGTAACTCCAAGTCACGTCTTAAACCAGATGCGTTTTAGCTAAGACCGTCTAAACACCATTATAAATTTTTTAAAGGTTTCACTTTAGCATTAAACCCTCCCTCTGAGGTGTTTAAAGTCACTGTTTTAACTCGGAGATAAAACCGATTCGGTGTAACTTTAAAAGCGTCTAGACATCGTTTCACCATATCGGGTGTAACAACCATTTTTAAGTGAATTTAAAACGGTGTCTGAACAGAGCCTGAGACAGAGTTGTGGCAAAATAATGTGATACCGTACATGTATAATCTGCAAGTGGGTTAACATTTATTTGACTTGCCCAACATTCAGTAGCTGTTACAATGTAAAACATCAAAGGTTAAGTCCAAATAAGCTATTGTGCTAAGGTGAAGAGCCACAGCCATTATACCAGTGCATCGTCCAGCAGCCTCAGACATGGTTTATGACTCTAGCCAAATTATGCACACTGCAACACAAGAGCATTTCATATTTAATGCTCAGTCTGAAAGCTTTTATGCAGTCCGCCTACAGACAAGCTAACTTAATTACTGTGCTCGATTGATTTATGCTCCTCATCAAGCCTAATGCCAATTGCATTTAGGCCCATTAATTCGCATTAGGGAAGAATCAATTATGAAATCAGCAACCAAAAAAAAATAGCCCAAAGTTCTGAAATAATACGCACTGTACATCTAATCTAATCCCGCAAAGACTAAAGTTTAGTAAAGTGTCTGGTTCTTTATGCACACGTATAGGATTACCAATTAATTACACGTACATGTTCATGTACTGGTATAGCACAAATGTACAGTACTGTATCATGGTGTAGTCTGAAGTAAAAATATGACCGTCATCATTTCAATGGAAGTGCAGGATAGGATAGTGCCACAAAAGGTGTGTACGTGTTCCATCATTTTGCCTTGGGCTGGCAAGATTCAAAGGTGTAATTCTATCAGAAGTGTGTATGGGGGGAACACATTGGTAATAATATCAATGCTGAGTAAACCACCATTGCCCACAGCACTTCTGACGACAAAGACAGAAATTGCCTTCTTGGAAGTAATGAGATAGACAACTTATTTTTCATAGAAGGCATCCGGTCAAAAAAAAAGACCAGTTTGACAGGAACAAAACGCAAGTGCAAGGTACATGTAAGGCTTACTAACAGCCTGCTGATGCGGTAAGTTGGGGATAAAAGGCAATAGGAAGAATTGAATGAGTACAATAGGAAGCTCATTTTCTTGTTAGTCACATAATGCGCATGTGGATGCTACGTGTATAAACATGTCAACATTTCCAGTAAGCGGGTTGCTTTTTATCACGAAATAAAAATGGAGGACTTTTATGTTTGAACCTGTATTTTTGGAGGGGTAACTTGATTAAGTGTGACTGTCATGAAAGAAGTTCATGGGAAATAAACTTTCAAGCAATTGCTTCTATAAAGGAAAACTGCTAGCATACGGTACTTGTACCGGCACATGAGTCTTGTAATTTTTCTTAACATGCAGAAAAGTTGTGTCTTTTATCTACTTTATACACACAATATACGAGTCTACTGTTCGGATTTAAATGCATGCAGAAATCTTAAAAGCCTCATTCCCTGTTTCCTTTCGGGGGGGAGGGGGCAGATACAAAAAAAAACTGGAATGGAAGTTCTCTCCCCTGGAGACAACTCTGCAAATCCACACCTGGCTGTTACCATGGTGACAGACTTCAGATGCAGCAGGTTCCTTCGATCCACAGACAACACCCGACAACGGCAGCTATGGAATACCAACATCATTAGGGGGGGAGGAGAGAATGAGACCCAAAAGCAAGGGGGGTACTTAACCCTCAAAGGGCCAGCTTAGTTTGGCCCATCTCACCAACCTGTGGGGGCGGAATCTGATCCCCCCTCCCAAGAACTCGACTGTGTCACGCTTAATTTTTTTGGGATATTGACATGCATGTGAAGACATTCATTACCATTATAAATGTGAGGTTTGAACTCAATCACCCCCTCCGCCCCTCCTCTTTCAGGGTTAAAATTCCCCAGTGGCCAGTGAACGTTCTGACATTGAATGGGAACCCTTCAGTCACTCAAGCTGACTGAGGTATTGATGCTAAACCATTGATTACAGGCCTCCAGTGCAAAGTCCTCCTCCGTACTGTCAAGCACAAACATAACACCATCTCTACCTCCATCACTGTACAAATACTGGACATATCCCTCATATCCTTACTACAGGTGTGCTTAATTACACGCCTTGTATTCTCCACATGGCATACATGTACAGTACATGTACATGTTCATACTGTACAGTTACCAATACAGTACATTTACATGTGTTTACATGTACTCTACTTACATGTACATGCACCTGTACACATCTATGGGTAGAGTAGCTGTCTCACCCAAAAATTACACAAGCCTACAAGTACACATACATGTACGTGTGCATACATACATTTCCAATAGTACATGTATTGGTCTTCGAACCAAACAAGTACACAGCCAGCATTATCATCCACGGAGAAAACTGTACACTTTTGTAGACTGCAATTTACTTAA